AGAACAGATTGCAGAAGATATGCCAGCTAGAATGCCAGAAGATATGCCAGATAGAGTGCCAGAAGATATGCCAGATAAAATGCCAGAAGGTATGTCAGATAGAATGCCAGAAGATTTGCCAGTAACAAAATGTATAAATGTCATGGTGGGGATAACTCGAAGTAAAGTAATTAATTACTTACTTCGAGTGATCCCCACCCTGCCACATTATTCTGACATAGCTTCCGACACACAATATGGAAGTATTTGTTGGATATATATATATATATATATATTCTGAGATTCTATCTGACATACTTTCTGGCATATATGCTGACATTCTTTCTGGCATTCTATCTGGCATCTACTCTAACATTCCTGGCATCTATTCTGGCATTCTATTCTGACATTCTTTTCTGCCACTCTACCTGACATCCCACTGAGATCTGGCGCTCGCGGTTGAGGTCTGGCAGTGCCCACTGAGATTTGGCGGTCGCAGTTGAGGTCCGACAGAGCCTGGTGAGATCTAGTGCCGGGCGAGAAGGAGGAAGGAGGAGGCGGAAGCAACTCTGATAAAATCTAGAGACCACCTGGCAGGCGGGGAAAACGAGAGCACAATTATTTCTTTCTTCTTGTGATCCCCACCAACTGACATTCTACCTGACATATATCCTGACATGCTATGTGAGCTTTTTCTTGCATATATATATATATATACGTATGTGTGTGTATATATATATACATGTTTACATATATATATATATATTCTGACGTTCTATCTGACACAAAAATCTGACATTCTATCTGACGTGAGGTTCGGGTCGGGGCCCAGAGAATTGGCAAGCTTGCCACATACTTTCGTGCACGTGCTGAATGAGGATGGCAAACCAGCTGGTGTATGTATGTGCGTGGTGTTCTGTGTATGTTGGTGTGTGTGTGTGTGTGAAACCCGCTAGGTATCATGCGGGCAAGAACCATTTAAGAACCGTTTTTAGACATAATTTAGAAGTAAGGAGGGGGGCTGGTTACCGGTTGTCCATGCAAGAACCGGCCCAACGAAGAAGCTTGCATGTGACACTGATATCATCGTAGACGCCCGGTGACGTACCTGCTTTGAATGTGTTTAGAACTGTTGAACATGTTTTGATTTCAGACAGTTGGAGGTAAAGGTACATCATTGCCTGTCAGTCTGCTGCATCAGGATGGTTACTTAGGAACCCTCAAGGCAATGACAACCTCATCTCCAATTGTGGAGTAAGATTTACTCACTGAGTTGTGATTGCCGTCTTTACGCTCTGTGGTGCGCATTGAATTGGAGCTTCTGGTGTCGAATGGGGTACTGAGTACTGCAATACTGCGATACCTCGACATTATGACGGGACTTAGTGCCTGTGGGAAGTGGCTTCATGCCGCAGTATATGAAATATGAGCACTGGAGAAAGTCACAAGACTGGATTATATCGCAAGACAGCAACACGCCATATGGCCGGGAATTTACGATGAAAAGCAGAACATTTATAATTGTAACTTGGCACAGCCCCCTCGACCCTGGACCCTTGGGTATGCTGGGTGCACCTTCCCTCTTCTCCCTGGTGGGTCAATGGATGCAGCACGCTTAGCTTGGGACACCCCCGCTTCCCGTTCCTCCTATCTTCCCTCCCCATACCTTCTCTCCCCTTGCCGCACCCTCAGGACTGTGTTTGCCCCTTCCCTTTGCTGTGGTTTTGCTCTGTTGCTGGTTCTGCTTTGTGCTGTTGCTCCTTTGCCTGCCAGGGTTGGGATCCTGTGTGCTTTCTCCTCCCTCCCTCCCCCCCTTTTCCTTCCTTCGTTCTGCCTGCTTTTTGTGTGCTCCCCTTCCCGTTCTCTGCCTTTGTGGTTTTACTCTGGTTTCTCTTTTGTTTTGTTGTGGCTGGCTGTCCTTGTTCCGTTCCTATTTCCCTCTCCCTGCTTGTGCGTGTGTGTGAAAACGTTTTGACTTTGACCTTCTTCCTTGCAGATTTCCCAGATACAAGATTTTTCTGCAATTCCTTGTCCGACGAGACAGCTGTGTTTTGACCACTGGAATCAAAGAACATGTCGTCAAATCGGTTCGATCTTACCATCCACGGATTGATGCTACAGAGATCTTTCATTTCTTGCCATGACGCTGTATGAAAAGGCATGAAGAGGTACATTCGTGACATTTTGCCATTGTTTGCAGGGCTCTCCTATGTGTGAAACCCTCTAGGTATCATGCGGGCAAGAATCATTTAAGAGCCGTTTTTAGACATCATTTAGAAATAAGGAGGGGGGCTGGTTACCGGTTGTCCATGCAAGAACCGGCCCAACGAAGAAGCTTGCATGTGACACTGATATCATCGGAGACGCCCGGTGACGTACCTGCTTTGAATGTGTTTCGAACTGTGGACAATGTTTTGATTTCAGGCAGTTGCAGGTGAAGGTACATCATTTTCTGTCAGTCTGCTGCATCAGGATGGCTACTTAGGAACCCTCAAGGCGATGACAACATCATTACTTCAAACTTCCAATTTAGATTTATTATGCAATCAGTTACCTTCTAAATCAGCAGTGTGTGTGTGTGTGTTTGTGTGGACGCATTGGTGTCTGTGGGCGTGCGGGTGTCCGGCGTTTGTCAAAATCTAGAGACCCTCACCAGGCAGGTGGGGAACAATCATGGGCTCTTGTGGATATAGTGAGGTATATAAGCGACCATATATGAGATGGGTTTCTCCGGAACTGGGCATTTCCAAAGCTGAAATCTAATTGGCAGCATTACTATATGAACCGCTGGATGTTCGGATATCCCAGTTTTGGGCAAAGCCACCCTTGTGTCTGTGGGAACGGGGGATATTTTGAACAACAAGAATGACATGTTTCAACCAACAGTGCCTGCAAAATACCTTTGTGTACAAGTTATCCTCATACTCATTCTCATAATATGAAAAATTATCAACATTGCGGGGAGGGGATGAACGATACCGTGCAAATCATTCATCATCATTGACCCAAACATGGGGGGGTGACTGCCACTATGTTCATTGTTCTCGAGCAACCATCCAGTGGCACAAAACGACATGTTTGTGCCACCACGTCGAACTCACGAACACCGATGTGTATGTGTTTCGCAAATAAATGTAGACACAGTTGCGCGTAGTATGCTTGCTCCGTCCAGGTTCGCCGTCCGGGTTGGCTGTATGCTGTAATCTTCATCACTTGTGACTCATCCCCAAGGCGCATGTCAGGCGCATGAAGGAAACTACTCCTGCAACCTTAGTGTCAACGTGCTTGCGCGCTCCTATCAGTGGATGTATAGCCATGCCAATTGTGCTGACTTATTAACTTATGTTCGTGTTGGCCAAAAGAGCTCAGAAACCTCTGAAATTTCGAAAGAGTAAAGCAAAGACATGTGAGCTGAGTTGAACGTGTCTCTCGTTTCAGCCTGAAATGCATTCCTTCAAACAAATTTACTTGAGGCACGTCCAATGAAAGCGTGCATTTCGACACAGCGAAAAACACCAGGGATGGGGATGGTATTAACTGCCTGATTGGGATGCCGCTGTTTGGCGAGGCGTCCATGCACCCACCAGATATGTGCAAGATTGTTTTTTTTGCATTGATAATACCTCATCCATACTCATCCCTACTCCACGTGGCCGTTGGTCAAGCTCCAAACCTGTGGCCTTTGGCCGTTCTGATGCCGTTCTGTGGCCGTCAACTCAACACACCCACGTAAAAGTATGGGTGAACGGCTTTTTTTGTTGTCGATCCATGTCGATCCAACACACACCCAAGGGCTTCGAGTTTCCAAACAAGAGCGCGACATTGGTGAGTTGGGAGCTGCCGAGCAGCTGAGGCCATACTTGGAATCTGTGACTGTGATATTGGTCCTCTTGAATGCCATTGTCCTGGGCATAGAGTATCAGGTGGAAGGTGAAGTCGTTGGTTTGGCCTTACTTGAAGGCAAGGAGTGTCTCGTTTTGAAATTGTGTGTTAAAAAAAGTAAGTTAGAGACGGCCTTTTTTGTTCTTGATATTCTTTGGACGGGAAATTGGGGATGGGCAAGGTTTTCAAAATGACCGATTGGCCCAACAAATGGAGCATTCTTCGGATGTTTTTCTCGTTTTTTTAAGGTTCCATCAAAGTTGTTCGAGATTGTCGGAGATAGATGCGGATGACGATCTCCGATGGTTCATATCTTTCAGTGGCCGCAAACTAAAACATGCACATCTTCCTGGCCTAGGCAGCGTCTCCAGTAGAGACTCGCAATCATGGCATGGTCTTCAAATTATCCTCGAAAACTGGAAAACAAGTTCAACTTACAGTGCTTTTTCCATCTGCAGCTTAATAGCAATCTGGAGGCTAGTAAAGGACATGTAAACCACGTCGAGAGAATTATGTTCACGGAAGCATCCTCTGCAGTTGCTGACGGTTGACTGGGTTCGCCAGGAAACGATACATGGATATATCATGACCTATATCATACATAGATACAGGATGATACAGGCACACAGTGACATACATATTAGGATCTTGCATGACATACAGGTACTCTACTGGTGACATACCCATATTTCAGGGTTTTGCTGCTTGTTCAGATATGTTAGTGTGCATGGCTAAGGCCAACTTCGGTTGCTGCAAGCACTGTCAATATTTTTTATTGGTTTGATGCTTGGCAAGGTCAAAATAACGAGAGGTGCCCCCGCAAAACTGCTGTCCCAAACTAGTCGTCTGGAGTCCATAGGATTGAGAGTTACAAGTTGGGCCACAAAATTGTTTTGAGGATGCTTTTGTTTGAACATTTTTGTGTTTTAATGATTTTTTCAGATATGATTTGGACAATGGAAAATATATGTTTTTGTTTTTCAATGTTTTTTTGTTTTTTGTATTTTCATTATTTTCATGGTTTGTTTAAATGTGTTTTCATGTCTTTTGTGTGTTTCATTATTTGTTTAATGATTTGTTTAAATGATTATCAATGTCGCGTTTTATTTTTAATTGTTTTTTTTTCATGGTTTTAATTTTTGTTTATGTTGTTCTATGTTTTGTTTATGTTTGTTTTTCATGTTTTCATTTTTTAAAAATGCGTTTTTTTTGAATTTATTTGCTCGAATGATTTTTAATGTTTTTTTGTTTAATGTTTTTGTTTTTGGTTTTTACTTTTTATGATGTTTTTTTGAATATAGAAGATAAACAAAATATTTTTTGAAAAAAAAAACGATCATGAACATCACATTTCTAAAAACAACAACACCAAAAATAAAATTAACACCAATCAAACAATATTCATAAAATAAGATTAAAGAACATACAAAAAATCATCAAAACAAAACTATTTTTTAAACATTTTTCAAATCATAAATTTCATCAAAAAAAATCATTTCAAAAAACACACAGTTTTATTTTGAAGAAAAACATGTTTCAAAACAATTTTGCGGCTGTCATCGAACTCTCGACCATAGGAGTCAGTGGGCTTGTTGCGAGACACTTGTGGCAATGGGGTGAAGTGTTACGTTTCATGCTGCCGCTCACTGGTGTCCCCAGTGCAGCTATTAACTATTAACTGAACCCAGCGAAGCATCAGCAGAGGTCCATGTTCAGGAATTCCCCGTGCTTCCTTTGGTTTTTCAATTTGTATCGATTTGTTGTTTTGTACAATCCATTGAGTGGTATCGATTTTGGTGTTTTCAGCCAACTAGGTTGGGTGGAGCTTCCCAGGGGGGTCGCATCAATTTGTGTTGTCCCATGCAGATTTGGGTATAGAATTGGGGTGTACTTTCTATCATTTAGTATGGATTTAGCTTGCAGTTGCAGTTCTTTTGTCAAAAAAAGAAAGCGTGTGACACCTAACATACTTCGGGGTCCTCTCTGACTCTTGCTAAAGATTGAGATGCAGAAGGTGTTTGGTAAAGTCTGGCTCTTGTAGTTCACATTTTTTTCGCTGCAACTGCAAGAATTGCTGTCTTCGTGATGTGCTGTATCTTCGCCCAGTTTTTCTTCGCCCAGTTTTGGAGTCAAAAACAGCTGTTGTGTCAGCGTTAGTCCGTTAGGATTTCATCTTTGACTTCACCTTCCTGCTGGAGTGGGCCATTTGTTTGTGCATTGCCAGGAAAAGGCTCCTGGGCCACGCGAACAGCGTGTGAAATTTTTGTCAAAAGACAGGTGGAAACGGTGGGAACAGCCTCCAATCTTCAGTCAATTCAACATAGAAAAAAGGAATCCCCACCATGTACAGATGATTTTCCACCCCTCCCTGTCCATGTCAATTTACTGCATGGTAATTGATGTTAACTGTTTCCCACATCCAAGAAGCAATCAAAGACCAAGGGTCCAGACTTGGGATGTTAATTTGGCCATTGTTTTTGATCCCACCTACTGGAAGGGGAGTTGCTAATCTGACGTCAACATTGTTCCCAAAAGCTCTGCCAAGGTGTTGTTTTTTTCAAAGAGCTGCTGCTAACTTCAACTGTTTTTCTTATCAACATCATCATCACCACCTACATCCATCATCTACATCTCACATACATCATCTACATCATCTGCATCATCTACATGTCACCATCATTTTCACCACCACCTGCACCCATCATCTACATCATCAACATGACTCACATCATCTAGATCATTTACATGGTCTATTTATTCTACAAGATTTTACACATCACCTATGTGATCTTCGTCATTTTAACCATCCACTCATGTATAGACATGTCGGTTATCAACTCCTATGAACTCCTAGAGCCTTAGAAATGACGTACAACGTCTTATATATATATATAATTGTCATATACATATATATATATATATACATTTTATGTTTTATTTAAACATCATCTACGCAGGTGCAGATACGCAGGTGATCAGCTTCTATGAGCTCCTTCAGGACTCATACGGAACACTGGCATTGTTTTCTTTCTGATTTACATCATCTACGCCGAGGACATGTAAGTGATCAACTTCTTTGAGCTCCTACAAGACTATGAGAAAAGACCTGCAACGCCAACTCTTGTAAACCTCTCTTAAGGTGGCTTGGGGAGACGCTCTGCGGAGATCGTGCGTGTCGGACGTCCAAATGTGTGGCGAAATTTGTTCTGAGCAACGGCTTCTCTGTGCAAAAGGTTCTGTGTGTAAAAGCTTCTGTGTCTAAAAGCTCCTGTGCGTAAAAGCGTTTGTGTGTAAAAGCTGCTCCGTGTAACCGCTTCTCTTTGTAAAGCCTTCTATGGGAAGGGATCTTTCACTGTGCGCCAAAGCTTCTTTGTGTAGAGCCGTGTGATTGTAAAAAGGTCTCTGTGCAGAGGCCCCTCTGTGGAACAGCATCTGTGTGTGTAAAAGCTGTTGTGTGTAATTGGGGAATGGATGGGATGGGAAAAGCAAATAGCATATAGAATTTGGCGAAGCATATCGCATACCAACCAGGAGAGGATCATCAAAGGTTTCACCAAGATATTTTGTACTCTGCAGAATAGTTCCAGAATTGTTGATCTGGAGACATTGAAAATTGAATTGGAAGCCATATACTATTGGCAGACGGTCTTGATCCAGCACTACAAATGAAATACAGTATCTGTCATTGTGAAGGTTAAGCACAGGTTGTCTGCCAATTCCTGTCAAGGCAAACAAATCCTTACCTGGTTGGTGGTTTGGAATATTTGTTATTATCCCCAATAGTTGGGATGATGATCCAATCGGACTTTCATATTTTTCAGGGGGGTAGGTATACCATCAACCAGTTACACACTGGTTGATTTACCTCGATGGTGTCAATATTTGTTTGGCCTGCCGGATTGGTTTTGTAAGTGAACGGCAAGCGGTGTTTAACACCGTTGCTTGATCAACATGTATTGTCAAGACATGTTACGGCTTATGGTATCCATACCAGACTAGGACTATAGCAATTCTTATAATGGGTATTGTATCCTGCGTACGGCCCCCCGATTATGAGCTGGTTTATAAACCCTACTAGTAACTGTAGTTATATCATGTTATATCTACCATAAACCGTAGCTAAGCCACGTATATTCCAACTTAGCTATCTTGGGGGCCCCATCCTGTCCCCTTTGATGGATTTCAACAAACCCTCGGATTTTCCACCACCAAGATGGGCGAGGCTAGGGCCCAACAAACTTTTGGGACCCCGGGCATGGAGTCAGATAAAGCTTTCGTGTTGATTGCGAAATGTATTGGTGGAAAGCTGACTGGGGGCGGGGATGGATATTGCTTTTGAAAGTTGCGTTCGACTTGGCTTGCTTATGTTTGATTTGAATTGCTGGCACTGGCCCTGAAATTGAATTCAATTTTGTTCGAAATTGACTGCAAGCTGCCTTGGAATAAAGTTACAATAATTGGAATCGAAATGAGACAATCATTGGCTCTAAACATTTCCACATGAAAGCTGAACTAACTAATTGCAAACTGAATCAACTAAAATTGATGAGCAAAATTCGGAAAGTCCCAAAAATTGGTGACCTTCTGCGAGGTTCAAGCAGTGCTGCGCATTTAGGCTCCCGCTTGTTTCACAGCCACCCCATTTTGCGAGTTTGTTGTAAGCCGTCCTTGAAACAAATTAGATACAGTACCAATTGAAAGATACAGTTTCAGGACTTATTTTAAAATCAGAGTCCAAGCCCAAGATGAAACATTTTTGGAAGAAGCGGCAATTTGTTCATGGCCAAAACTAAACAGCGCCATTGCTGCGGTTTCTTTAACTAAAATCATCACCACCATCGTCATCCATCGTCATCATCATCATCATCATCATCATCACCACCACCATCATTATCATCATCGGTTGGTCTCACATGCCACCAAACTGTTTCACTCTCCATCTTGACCCCCTACCTTTTGCGTCTTCCTTCTCAAGTGCTATTTTCGAATTTTCCTTTGTTGCACGATATCATGGTTCGCTATGCAATGTTGTTGGTGTGATTTCCTGATATCCCCATGATGTTCGATTTGGGTTTTGTTTGTTTTGTTTGCCGAATATAGTTGAGACTTGCAAAGCCTCATTCGAGGTTCTGCTTCACGGTGGAGCTCATGGGAAACACTATTTTTGGTTATGTTTGGATGTGCTGAAATGGTCCTGAATCTTGGCTGGGATCACAGTTGGCCAACGCCTGTCGGTTCTTGGGTTTCAGATCATGCTGTGTGCCCTCTGGGAATTCCACATCGATTGTTCGAGCAGAACAACATACAAGATATACAAGGGCGTCTGTAGAAACACCCTTTACCAAATTAGTATAGAAACGGATACAATGTATGACACAATTTATGAACATTGAACATGGTGTGGATGCCTGTTTTTGGCATTGCAACATTTTCAGATGTGCATGAACTTTATCTTTATTTATGTCTGTGGACAAGAAGGCTCGCTAAAGCGACGGGGGCGGAGCCATCTGGTTGGATGAGAGATCAAACATTGCAGGTGGCTGTGGCGCGAAGCACTCAAAACACTTCAGCTTCGTAGCACTTTTGGAAGTTCAATGTGGAAAAAGTGGACGCTGCTGCCGTGCGAAGCACATTCCGAAGTAAAAATAATCAAAACACGTCAAAACACTTCATTGTCGGAGCATTTGTGGTGCAAAGCAGATTTCGAAGCCAAGATGCTGAAAAAATGCGGGTTCAGAGCACTGTGAACAGTTGAGATGTTCACCCAAAGTGCACGCGGTTGTGGCGCGAAGCACATTTCGAAGTCAAAATGATGAAAATTCTGCGGGTTCGAAGCACTTTGAACAGTCGGGACGTTCAGAAAGTGCATTGCCGTTGTGGCGCGAAGCACATTTCGAAGTCAAAATGCTGAAAACACCTCAGGCTCAGCGCTTTTGGAAGTTGAGCCGTCAATTTCTGTGGCAGGCGCAATGGATTCTGCACCTTAAGGAAAAGTGAGCACAACGTGAGGGTTTTGTAGCAGTTGCAAAGACGATAGCAGGGGTGGGACGCTTGAAGATTTTGAAGAGGAACTGCAAAGATGCATGTCCCGTGGCAGGCGCAGTACCAGAGACATTTCTTCAGGGCGCTGAGAAGGGTTGCATTTTGGTCAGGTAAGATGATTTTGCGTGGCAGGTGCAGCACTTCGTATGACCTGGCCTCACTTTTTTTTCTCGTGGCAGGCACAATACTTTTTAGGTAGATGGAGTGGAACAAATGCAAAACGTAATGGCAGGAGCCCGCCGGCTCTGTATACTGAACAGTTCAAAAATAGAGGAAGCCTCGCAGAATTCCTTCGTTTCTTATGTTGTCAAATTCAATAACTGAGGAAGTATTCGCAGAATGCGTTCGTTTTTGATGTTGTAAACTCCTTCGTTGTTGACGGTGTAAAGAGACACAGAGAGAAAGAGAGAGGATCAGAGCCTCAACCGCCTATCGATCCGTCAGTGGGTTTGCTTTGCCATCAATGCATCACAACAACTCACCTCTCCTATAGGTTTCCTATCTTTGAAACTTCTGCCACCGCCTTGTGCGGCTACCGGTAAGAATATAATATAATAAATCTAGGACGGCAACGCCACCACAATCGGTGCCAGTTTCTGTTTTCGGCGGCCCTCACACGGTCTTGTTCTTGGGGGGCTCGTAGTGGGCCATGTTCCCGTCCTGGTTGAATCATGGCATTGGATGCTTGGTGGATTCCTATTCTTGCTACACATCTTCCACATCATCCCGACTCGATTCCCAAAACAAAATGGTTTATTCCTGCAAATCTTATAATTTGATGAATTCCTATCGCACATCATCCGGCAACACTCAAAAGAAGGGTTCTGCACTGATTTTGGTGGTTACACATGGTTAAGTCTACTGTTGTACAGTCCCAAATTTTCAGGTGGTGTTGTGGAAGTTGGTGAGTTCAAACCAAGGCATAGGGTTTTGCGTTCGTCATGCCAGTCCCCGAACTGACAGCACAATAACAGCAGATTGCACAGAGAGAAGTAGTCTTGCAACCCCCAACTCATGGCATGGTCGGTTTGCCGGCTAGGTGTTTCAGCTGAACTGAGCGGTCCCAAAGTGTTGCCTGTCCCTAGGTATAGGTAGAAGATAGATGAAGATAGTGGAACCACCAAACAGATCCAAACAGTTAAACTCTGGGATGTATACCTTTTGGTAATTTCGCATGGATATGGAAATTGCATGCTTTTACTATGTTTCACTAGGAAAATGAATTACACACGATGGTTTTCCATATTCTTGTGTGAACTTAAAAAGCACCCCAGGCACTAAGTATTCACCAAGTTTCAGGGGTCACCGTTTTGTTCAGGATTCTCTCGCGGAACGGCGGGGTAAACGTCTCGCTCACAGCGCTGCATATCATCCACGCTGTGTCGTGCTTACGGATTCTGCGATGTTTCCGTGTGCTGAGCATCTTGGCTGCGTCAAACGTCAACTGTCAATCAGGTGCGTTGTGTGAGGGCAAAAGCAGTAACACCCGTCTAGGTTCCAGAGAGCAAGCATCAGAGTTCTATGGTTTCCGTTGTTTCTGCGGGGGTGTCGAAGTTGTGATGTTACTGTATATAGCTAGCTGTCGACCGAGTTTCACAGGCCTTACTGTCGACAGGTCTTTTATTTAACAACCTTCGGCATTCCGCCGGCCCCCTGTGGCCCTTGGCTTACAGGACCAAAGCAGGGGTGGTGTAAATATTAAACCTGCTTGGTGTAAAAGGTGGTTTGCGTAAAAAGGTTTAAAGTCGCTTTGTTATTTGTGTAAAAGCTGATTTGTACAAGCTGGTTGGTGTAAAAGGCGGTTTGTGGAAAAACGGGTTTGTGTAAAAACGGGTTTGTGTAAAATCTGGTTGGTGTAAAAATGGGTTTCTGCAAAGAGTGCTTGGTGTAAAAGAGTGTCTGTGTAAAAGTCGGTTTGTGTAGAAGCTGGCGTGTGTAAGACCTTGGAGATTGAGCAGAATGGACTCAAGTTGGTAGATGCAAGGTGCATGGCTGTGAGAGTGCATCCGGAGAAGGCAGTGAGCGCAGAGGAAGAGCAGGACTGGCAGGTGCTTATAGAAAGTGTTGGGCACAAAAGCGGCAGGTTAGAACCTGGGACGGCCAGAACTAACGGTGGAGAAAACGTGGAAGCATGCCGCTTCTCAGGGGCAAGAAGCGCCGTAAAACGTGAAGAAAAGTGGAAAAATGCCGAATCCCAGGGGCGAGCCGGAAGAAGAAGATGAACCTGACGATGATGATGATGATGATGATGATGATGCTGGTGATGATGATGATGAAGAAGAAGATGATGATGATGGTGATCATGATGTGATCATGATGGAGATCATGATCATGATGATGGTGATGATGATGATGATGATAAAGATGGTGAGGATGACCGAGACAATGAGGATGTAAATAGGGTCAGTGCTATAGGTAGTTTGAGAAAGAGACGAGACAACACGAGACTATACTATACCAGTAGTAGCCGCACGAGGCGGGGCGGAAGTTGCTTTATAGAGATATACTATAAAATATTTATATCATCTATAGAATTTGCATGCGCCGTGCGCCAGCCAGGCCCGTGCGCGCGTGCTTTGTGCGAAGCTGTTGCACAGATGTTGTCCAAGAACATGACCTGCGCACGACCCAAGCAAACACTTTCCTCACACTTCACACTGCACTCTTCACACTTCACACTTGCACTTCACACTTGCACTTCGCACTCGACACTTCATCTCATCTCAAATCATGTGAGCTCTTCTCACCTCACCTCATCTTAGCTCTTCTCATCTCATCCCATCTCTTCTCACATTTCATCTAAGTAAGTTCTTCTCAACTGTTTTCATCCCATCCGAGCACTGATCAACCTTTCTCGTCTCCTTGAAGTTCGTCTCAACTCATCTTAGCTGTTCTGCACGCCAGAAAGCTCTTACTGTCAGAGACAAGTCCCTTGCACAAAAAAACATTCGGCGCAGAAAGTTTTTGCACACAGACACATGAGACACAGATGCATTTACATACAAAAGCCTTTCGGAAATACTTTGTACTAAAAGCTTGCGCAAAGCACTTCCCAGTACTACTTTGTACTACAAAGCTTGCACAAAGCACGTCCCAGTACTACTCTGTACTACAAAGCTTGCACAAAGTACTTCCCAGTACTACTTTGTACTACAAAGCTTGCACAAAGCACTTCACAGTACTACTTTGTACTAAAGCTTGCACAAAGCACTTCCCAGTACTACTTTTTAGTACAAAGCTTGCACAAAGCACTTCCCAGTACTACTTTGTACTACAAATCTTGCACAAAGCACTTCCCAGTAATACTTTGTACTAAAGCTTGCACAAAGCACTTCCCAGTACTACTTTTTAGTACAAAGCTTGCACAAAGCACTTCCCAGTACTACTTTGTACTACAAATCTTGCACAAAGCACTTCCCAGTAATACTTTGTACTAAAGCTTGCACAAAGCACTTCCCAGTACTACTTTTTAGTACAAAGCTTGCACAAAGCACTTCCCAGTACTACTTTGTACTACAAATCTTGCACAAAGCACTTCCCAGTAATACTTTGTACTACAATGCTTGCAAAAAGTACTTCCCAGTACTACTCTGTACTACAAAGCTTGCACAAAGCACTTCCCAGTACTACTTTGTACTACAAAGCTTGCACAAAGCACTTTCCAGTACTACTTTGTCAAAGGAAGTTGGGAAGCAATCTTCCGAGTTACGGACAAACAGAATTGTGAGACTTGACATTGATGAAGGGTGTGAAGTGGTGACAATACATCATCACAAATACATCACAAAGGAATAAGGCAATGAAGGGTGGTTCAGTGTCACAATACATCACAAAAGAATAAAAGGCTATGATGGGAAGTGGCGACTTTGGGAAGTGTCACAGTACATCACAAAAGAATAAAAAGCTATGAAGGGAAGTGGTGAGGAAGGGAAGTGGTGGGGAAGGGAAGTGGTGAGGAAGGGAAGCGGTGACGAAGGGAAATGGTGACGAAAGGAAATGGTGACGAAGGGAAATGGTCAGGAAGGGAAGTGGTGACGAAGGGAAGGGGTGACGAAGGGAAGTGGTGAGGTAGGGAAGTGTGGTGACGAAGGGAAGTGGTGACGAAGGGAAGTGGTGACGATGGGAAGTCGGGACTAAGGGAAGTGATGATGAAGGGAATGCTGCAAAATGCATTGTCATGGCTGCATGAATGCTCAATGGGCTATGGACTTTGGGAAGTGGTGAGGAAGGGAAGCGGTGACGAAGGGAGTGTGGTGACTTTGGGAAGTGGTGAAGAAGGGAAGTGGTGACGAAGGGAAGCGGTGACGAAGGGAAGTGGTGAGGACAGGAAGTGGTGACGAAGGGAAGTGGTGATGAAGGGACTGCTGCAAAATGCATTGTAATGGTTGCATGAATGTTGCATGGGCTTTGTTTTGGGGAGGAAGCCGGAGCACAAAACTTTGCATTTTTCTGTGTCAAGTGGCTGCAGCCGGCGATGAAAGGCACCTCCTGTGTGGGGCGGGTGCGGTTTGGATCGTTTCGAGGTCAATCGGTTCCTCCTCTGTGTTCTGCAACGAGTGGTTGTTCCTGTGTGCGTAGTTCTATTCGTTTCTTGAATCTGTGGTTGCAGATCGCAGTGGAATGGCTGCATGATTGTTGTCATTTGGCGTTGCCATGTGTGTAGAGAGATGCAGGTTTGCTACGGGATGCTGCGAAACAATGCCAGATGCACGTAGTTCTACATTTATACAAGCAGGGTTTTTTGTCTCTATCATTATGAGTAGTAGGCTTTAGACAGGGCACATAGGAGTTGGTCCCCAACCGTTTTTGGGTGTGTAAATATCTGACGTATCTGTATTTTTTTTAAATATATATATATATAATTATTATAAGTAAATAAAATAAATAAAGAAATAAATAAATAGGTACAGACCCCTCATGCGTTGCAGTAAGGCTCATTTCTGAGGACGCATGGATTGTCTCATGGATAGGGTTTCGCCTGTGCCATAAATTGTCGGTCTCACCTTAAATAACGACGGTTGATTTGGCAAAACCATCCGCAACATTCCCCGGCAAAACCATTTCAAAGCCTCTGATATGTAGGAGTGTGCCCAAATTTACTGGAGCATGTGGTAATGTCTAAAATAGGGCACCACATCCATCCACATCCCACGATTTATCATTAGTTTTCCTATGTGCCACTTTGGGGGTCATGTTTCTTGCTGCTTCGCAGAACCTTGCTGCATCATTTCCAGAGAAACGCATGGTTTGAACCGAACAGTTTGGACCTGCAAGGACGGTTTCAAGGCCCCAAACTCCTCCTGCAACTTGGCTGAATTTGTGTGTTGGAAGGCTACTTTATATAAATTTTGGGAAATTACTTAGGGCCTATGTTAATCAACTATCTTAGTTTGGGGATTCCAGAAAAAAAACACCCAAATTGTGACCTACTGAGCCTCCGGTAGTCAAGTATTCTCCATAGGTCAAAAAAAAAGCTGTCGTGCCGAACATGGGGAGTGACGCCACTGATGAACCAAGCCAGGGTTGAATATGAGCATTCATGACGACTGGACGACCCAATGAACGGCATCCTCCAAGGACGGCCTGCAACAGCTTCCTTCATTCCTTGTTTTGGGCCATGGAAGCTCAGCATAGAACCAGGCGGTCAAAAATGGGAAGTGGAAGTGGCTCAGATTTTAAACCGCTACTTGAATATATTTTAGTACTATTTATACTCATCATTTTTTTGCGGGGTGTCTAAGAATGCCATGCATTTGTTTTAGGAACTCAGAAGCCCCTGCGGATCTGGGGTTGAACTATAAGGTTGAATGCGGATTTTTGTCCATGATGGGAATCCTGCACTCGGCCAAATATAGTTCAAGAGGTTGCTCTTCCGACTTCCGATGCAATGTTCTCATAATCAGATCAAGGGAGCACCCTCAGGGAAGTCTTACATGTTGCTCTATCAAAACCGTCAAAACCCATGGGATCCTGTAAGTTTCCCTTAGGCCAAGTCAACGGTTCATGAAGTTAAGCAAGAACTATTGCAAGACGTTCCAAGGATTGCAAGAACTATCGGAACACAACAGGTTCGCAGCGGTTCACAGCATTTTGCAGCGCTTGCCGATGCTGCTGAGGTATTTCTTTCATTGTTCATGTCTACCAGCGCGCTGTTTATTGGTGCCTTGGAGGCTGTCTACCAGCGTCACCCAGAAATCTGATTCCAGCTGCCCCAAGGCAACCTGCTGCTGGAGTACTTCGTTGACAAGCGGAGCATGGCAGATAGGCCCGGAGTGAATCTGAGGGGCGGCTTTGGGTTTTGACAATCGAACGCTGCGTTTCTTTGCACATGCTTTCCATTTTTGATTCCATTGATTGCTGCTGATACCCTCATGGTATCCACATGTGGTCATTGGTGCAACAAATGATATGCAAACAGCTGAGCTGTTTTTGTATCATCATGATATTCATCAGCAGCATCATCATGTTGGAACAAACTGTGTGTGTGCGCACTACAAATAACATCAGTTTCTTTTTTAAATTGCAATTAGCAAGGGGTCCAGGCAGTTGTGAGTTGGCCCTGGACAAACAAAGACGGACTCACGTTTGGTGAAGCGGGAAGTGATTCCTGTGTACCTGCAGTCAGTTTGAACAACTGTGTTTTTTTCTCAGCTGGACTGGGTTCTGCATGGTGATAAGATTCGACTTTGATTCAGTAATTTACGAGACCCTGTTTAAAAAACGTGCTTTTCAAGCTGGACATTGCTTCAGGTAGTTGGCCAGGCATCGATTACCTCAGCCAAAAGAACATACAGTCAGTCAGTCAGCCAGCCAGTCAGTCAGTCAGTCAGGCAGGCAGGCAGGCAGTCAGTCAGTCAGTCAGTGTGTGAGAGAATCTGTTTGTGTGTGTGTGTGGGTTTCATCCCTTTGAATTTACTGCCATTCATTTTTGCCTGTCCAAGGGAAAACAACAGCATGGTAACGCAGGATTTGATCTGTTAGCTGGGAGTCGCCTAAATAACGCGTCCACATGTATTTGAATATGAATGCGGTACCGGCACTGTACCCCACAAAGAACCTCAAATAATGCCTAGTCCGGGGTTGATATATGTTGATATCACATCCTGTGGTTGTGAAACACGTTCAAACTTTCACGCCATTGTGATGACAGTGCCACATCAGGGGCCCTTGAAGTATGCGATAGGGCCTGGCAGGTTGTGGGTGTGGGAAAGATATGGTACGACCTTCCGTGCCATCTACACGCTCTATGAGACTCTTGGCTACAAAACTCTTCCAAATGTCAAGGCCTGGTATGTCATGTCTATCATGCACACATATTTTTGAAAGCGATCAACACATCTCACAGTCATTCCAAAGTTTTGTCTACTTGATTAATTACCATAAACTGAGGTTTGAATATACGTATAGTATATATATATATACACACCTAGATCCACTTGGAGGACGGAAAAAAGTGCCGCAATTCATTGTGCCGATTTTTTTCTGCCGCAATGCAAGAATAAAAACGCAACACGGAAGAAACGCCGTAGCAGCACAATAATACCGCAAATCAGAACCATCTTTGTTGAAAACATCCGGGTTAAACGCCCAGCAACTATACAGCTCCTCCTAGTTTCTCGGCTGTGTCATGTCACCCATCAGACTTTGTTTAGTAGCTGCAAGGCAAAGAGGTGCAAATACAACGAGTTTGCAGTAATTGGCAAAGAACAACGCCACGTGTGTGCAATTCGCAAAAGCTATCACGCAGAAACAAAATGGACATATTGAACCATTGCAGCATCTTATGCTACAATTATGCCAAATTACGTCGCAATATTATTCCAAATCACACCGTAATTACGCCAAAATACACCACAGCTACGCTACAAGTCTGAAACACTTTGGTTGCATGTGCCAAAACACGTGGCTGTCCAAACATTGCCATTAATCCTGGACAACAAGAGCCACAACTTTGTCGACGTACTACCAGCAGAAACCAACGAGGATCTAGGAGAATTCACCTCCCAAGAGGCGACGTTTGTGAAAAGTTGGGACCCCAATTTTCCATGGTACCTTATGGGAGTCCCAGGGAGAAGATTTGTTTTGATGTGTTTTGCATAATCCGCCCTATTCCTTAGGATTGGACATTGCAAGATGTTCATATGTTTTTTCCCTGGTAAACGGTTTATTCCTTGACACAGAAGGGTAAGCAGCGACGGTGCAGCTTCGACTTCGACTTCGTCGCAACCAAGGATTACCTTTAGCGGAAGCTGGCCGTCTCTCACACACCCTGTGATCGACAAGGTTCATGCTGCCATGGTGATTTTCTTTGTAGCGCATCTCGGTTGGACAGGGGCGAATCTTCTGGAAGTTTGATGAGCGTAGCATCTGAGAAACAGGGAAACAGATACATTATTTGGTATTAGAACCCGGCTAAAAATGGCAATATCCAATGGGAAAATACTCTTCCAATGTAATTTTTGGCAGATCCATGTCGGATTTACCTGGTGTACTGTGTGCTAAAATCTATGGGTCTGGTGACTAATTGTATTCTCAGATTCTCAGAGATGTTGGGTTGGACTTGGACACAGATTTAACAAAGGTTAAAGCATAAAGTGAAGAATGTGCACAGCGCAAAGATTTACAAATATACATATTATGTGTGCATATATATATGCCTTATGTTAACCATTGATGATTATCTATCATTGATATTGATTGATGAATCGCCAGTGGATTGACGTACCTAGAAAGGCTCATGTCCAGAACAGAGAAATAAACACAAATCAGCTGCCTGGGCCCTTGAAAGAGACAGAGGGAGGGAGAGGGGCAGAAGAAACGCGAGGGATGAAGTTTCTAGCTGAAGAAAGAGATGTCCAAAGAAAGGGAACTCAGAAGAGGCCGCTGGAGAAAGCGTGTCGACAACAGTGTTGTGAAAGGGATGATGTAGCTCAAAGAAGAAGTGGCTCCATAGATGAGGTGGCTCCAAAGCGGGGATACGATAGAAGAGAAGAAGTCATTGTTGAATGGAACAATGATGAACAACGTTTTCTCTTGGAAACTAGAAGACGACGCCTATTGTATCCCACAATCAAACTGTTTGGAACCATTCCAAGAGGAGCAGGTTTATTCCTTTTGGAGACTGCTGGCACCCCATTCCGGTGTGCCAGGTACATTACAGTGGTCGCATTCGGCCTGATTCGAGTGTTTCTGGGCTTTTTTTGGCACACAGACCCATGGTTTCTACAGATCAAGCGGTGCCCTGTGGTTTGCCAACTAACTCAACAATATGGTGGGTTGTTCCATGTATGTAACTGTACGTGCTTGAAATATTCGGGGTCCTTTGAGGGCTACCCATACTTTGGGGCAATGCCAGTTGCAAACTGGGTTAATGGGTGTACATGGTTTCGACCAACCCAAATTCAACACTGTCACACATATCTAGTAAATATTGGAAGAGTTCCAGTGCGAAGTTTTATTTCAGTGTTTCGATTTCATTGTTTCTCAACAATGTACTTAACTGCATGTAAATCGAAACAGTGTAATAACTACATATAGTTAAAAAATAAAATCCATGTCATAATGTGATTCTTACAAACTTGGATGCGCATCGAGGTAGCCAACTATTTCTACAGTGTCGATAGGCAGCTCTAAGTCCAGGTATAATTCATCGACCTGAGACACATCACCATGGCCAGTCCCATGCAAGGGTGCTAGTCCAGCATTTTGGTTTTTCCGGCGGAAAAATTGCCTTCAACCAACAACGTATGGGCATGGATGAGAAGCAACTCTTAAGTCGTCTTGTATTTTATATATTTGCGTATTACTACATTTGGAAGGGATTAGCATATTAGCATCCAACTGTACCAGCTATTTTGGCTTGAACACCAGGGTACCAGGGTCTGGACCCATACCCTTATTATCAGTATATATGTAAATAATCAACATATACAATATCATATGTATGTAAACTTGTGCGTATATGTATATATATATATATATATCACCCTTCGTACTATCCCAATAAACTGAGGCCGCAAATTTTGCGATTTCTGCCTCATTTTTTTTCATTTTATTCAGTGCTATGCTGCTGCATTAACCTGTGGAACTGCACCAGTTTTTTTCTTTTGATGTGAACCTTTGAGAACTCTGGCATGAAGTGACCCATGAGCACTTGTTTAAAACATGATTATGCACATATTAACATTAAATCATTTCAAGATTCCAAAAAACATATAATGGTATAACGATTATAATGTTAAATTATGATATGTTAAAAATATGATGTACTTGGGTTGCCATCGCATTGCTGATGCTGACTCAACAATCAATATATAGGTTTCAAACTGTTTCCATATGTTTTGCTGATGATGATGATGATGATGCTGATGATGATGACGATTTTGAGCTTTACTTTACTTATTTCCATATTATTTTCCATATGTTTGTTTCCAACCTCTATTTTATTCAACTGCAACCCAAGCTTTGACAGATTTTTGGGGAGCCGACTTTGCGATCTAAATGGTCCTTGCCAGTTTTGGGGAGAGGAACATGCTTACTTTTACCTTTTTGCTGTGCCAGGAATTGGGACTCCAAAGGTTGCTTTAGCATTTAATTTGACACCTGTGGTTGGTCTTCCAATAGAATCAGACAACCAACCATCAGCTTGTGAAGGAAGGGGATTACATATATATGTATAATGAATCTATCTCAGCCGAAACTCTCATCTTCAACCGCAGCCTCTGAAACGTTTATCCACAGCGGCGCTTCAGGATCACGGCAGTGTTTTTAAAAGCCACTTTAGACGCTGCCGCGGACGATGCCGAGCATTTGATGACCGAGAGATTGGTTAAGAAGGCGTCCGAAAATTTTTGAAGGGGCAGTTTGCTGGTGATTTTTGATCCCACCAAAAGAATCCAAAAGAGATTATTATCTAGGGTTGATGTCCCATATAGATATAATATATGATTATATATGTATATATATATATATCCATATATCAATAAAAGAGGACACCGACACAATAAATGCGTAAGAAACAAACTTGGTACGACGTCAAAAGGGAAATTCCACTCACATCTGGTTGATGGATTAGATGGTTCAAACAGGTTCCTTTTGCCTTGAGGAAATATATTGTAACTACATTTAGGATGTCTAAATTTGCTGTAAGCTGCAAGAGTATCCTTCATTTTGGGAGTTGTTCACGGGGTCGAACACAGTAACAGGGTGACAAGGATTGTTTTCTCTCAGTCAATGCCCTGAGTTGTTGAAATTCAAATGAATCACCCACCTTTTTCATGTAATTTCAAGTTGCATGTGCTTTAGTCGTTATTTCTTTATTGGGGTACGCAAATTTGATCAATTCACAAGCCGGTCGTGCAATTCTTTTTTTGGGGGGCGGGACATACGGACCAACTCACATGTGTTTGGAAGATACATGCTGTGCTGCTACGGTCAGTCAAGGTCATTTGCGTCCGTTCTTCAACTTCAAAAATCCTGACCAGCAGGAATTCCTTAAAAACGAGGGTGGCTAGTAGATCACGATCAAACTGATTCAGTCACAGTGATTTCAAAATATTAAAAACCGTTCACGTCGCCAGATTCAAGTCATCAAGTCGACATGTTTCGACAAGGTCCCAAGGTCCCAAGGTCCTGTCAGATTTAAAACTTAGGTTCTGAACCTGGCTACTAAAATATCTAAAATAAGCTCAGAACCTGAGGCAAGGTCCCAAGGTCCCAAGGTCCCGTCCGGTCCCGTCAGATTTAAAACTTGCCTGGTTGTTGGTTTCAATCATTTTTTATTTTCCACAATATATGGGATAATCCTTCCCATTGACTCATATTTTTCAAGATGGTTATTGCACCACCAACAGGTAAATGATGATAGATGGTATACCAGCTCCCGGCCCCCTATTTTTTTTACCAAAGGGACATTATTGTTCCCAAGGTCCCGTCCGGTCCCGTCAGGAGCAATATGCCCGAAAGTTGGAAGCCATCTTCGGTGCCATCGATGAGGAAGGCGACGGCCAAATCACCGAGGAACGCTTGGTGGAGGCCTTGGAGAGACCGCTGGTGCCTCGATGAATTTCGTACAACGGGCCGGTGGGACACGTTGGAAGCCAGGGGAAACCATGGGTGAAACCATGGGTTTTACCAGATCTATGTTTTAATTAGTTTACCCGAGGTAAATGTCCTTTTTTTGCTGCAGGTTATACCATTATTATATCCCCAATAGCTGGCTGATATTATACTATAGATGTTAGGACATCTCCCAGCCGAAAGGAAAGAACACAGAAACTGAGACCGAAAAGTAAGAATCGACACTCAACTTACTGGTGCTTAGTAGGGAATGAGGGAATGATGCACAATAACTATCAATGATAATCCCAGCAACCCCCATTCCCATCCATTCCCTACTAATCAAGTATTCGCAAAAAATGGTCGGCTTAGGGCTTTCCTATCTTCTTGGGGGTTGGTGTGTTGTTGCGCCTGGGGGATCTGGTCGTCTTTTGGATGGTGGCTATTCCCTGACCTCCAGCGTAGCTGGGAATCCCCTATAAGTGGCCATTAAAAGTCGGAGAAAATTCTATAAATTTGTCCGTTTCCATGTTTGATTCTTTTGATTGCCGGAGTGTACTTCAAAAATGTTAAAAGGAAAAGAGCTGACTCGTGTGCTTGAGATGGGCTAAAAGGCTGGAACTATGAAACCCATGGTGACTTCAATTGTTTGCTTCAGACGTAATGGTCTCGCCTTTGCTGCACACAATACATATTTTTACATATTCAATGTCCACCCCAGATCAAGAAACCTTGGTTGATTGATTGGTGGATTCCCCAGACAAGTTATAATTTGCAAAATGCTACTGCCACTAATTGAGCAGCCTAGGGGTTGATTCAGCCTGGCTTGACACTGTGTAAAATTTATACACAGGCTGGTAATCAAGCCAATAGAACATATTCCATGTAAATACAGATTTATTTATGTTTTTTTTTCCCGAGAGCGCCTGCGAAGGGTTCTTCGTAAAAAAGCAGCCGTTGTAATACATCTTCACACCCTCACATCTGCTGATCTACATCTTCACACCTTCACATCTGTTAACCTACATCTTCACACCTTCACATCTGCTGATCTACATCTTCACACCTTCAAATCTGCTGATCTACATCTTCACACCCTCACATCTGCTGATCTACATCTTCACACCCTCACATCTGCTGATCTACATCTTCACACCTTCACATCTGCTGATCTACATCTTCGCACCCTCACATCTGCAGATCTACATCTTCACACCCTCACATCTTCTGATCTACATCTTCACACCTTCACATCTGCTGATCTACATCTTCACACCTTCACATCTGCTGATCTACATCTTCACACCCTCACATCTGCTGATCTACATCTTCACACCTTCACATCTGCTGATCTACATCTTCGCACCCTCACATCTGCAGATCTACATCTTCACACCCTCTCATCTTCTGATCTACATCTTCACACCCTCACATCTGCAGATCTACATCTTCACACCCTCACACCTGCAGATCTACATCTTCACACCTTCACATCTGCTGATCGACACCTTCACACCCTCACATCTGCAGATCTACACCTTCATACCCTCACACCACCTGCAGATCTACATCTTCACACCCTCACATCTGCAGATCTACTTCCTCGCACCTTCACATCTGCGGATCTTCTCTCGCTCTTCTTTCTATCTCTCTCTTAAGGCGGGGGCGGTGCCGCCGGAGAGCCACGAAACGCAACCCTTTCGCACGAAATGGACGTTGGACGTCAAAACTGACGTAAAATTGCGATTTTACTTGGCCCATCGCAACCTTTTCGCACGAAATGGACGTTGGACGTCAAAAACTGAGGTAAAATTGCGATTTTGAAGTATCCATCGCAACCTTTTCGCACGAAATGGACGTTGGACGTCAAAAACTCAGGTATAAAATTGCGATTTTGAGGTGTCAATCGCAACCCTTACGCGCGAAATGGACGTTGGACGTCAAAAACTGCTGTAAAATTGCGATTTTGAGGTGTCAATCGCAACCCTTACGCGCGAAATGAAGTTCGATCGCCAAAAACTAAGGTAAAATTGCGATGTCACGGGTCCGGTCTCTGTGTGTGAAAGCGTCTGTGTGTAAAGGAGTCTGTATACTGTGTGTGAAAGTCTCTGTGTGTGTGTGTAAAAGCGTCTGTGTGTAAAAGCCTCCGTGTGTAATAAAAGCGTCTGTGTGTAAAGGCCTCTGTGTGTGAAAGTGTTTGTGTGTAAAAGCATCTGTGTGTAAAAGCGTCTGTGTGTAAAAGCCTCTGTGTGTAAAAGTTTCTGTGTGTAAAAGCGTCTGTGTGTAAAGGAGTCTGTATGTAAAAGCTTCTGTGTGTGAAAGTCTGTGTGTGTGTGTAAAAGCGTCTGTGTGTAAAAGTGTCTGTGTGTAAAAGCCTCCGTGTGTAATAAAAGCGTCTGTGTGTAAAGGCCTCTGTGTGTGAAAGTGTCTGTGTGTAAAAGCATCTGTGTGTAAAAGCGTCTGCGTGTAAAAGTGTCTGTGTGTAAAAGCGTCTGTGTGTAAAAGCGTCTGTGTGTAAAAGCATCTGTGTGCAAAGGCGTCTGTGTGTAATTAAAAGCGTCTGTGTGTAAAAGCGTCTGTGTGTAAAAGTGTCTGTGTGTAAAAGCCTCTGTGTGTAAAAGCCTCTGTGTGTAAAAGCGTCTGTGTGTAAAAGCGTCTGTGTGCAAAAGCGTCTGTGTGTAAAAGTCAGCGATTGGGTAAAATTGCGATTTCACGGGTCCGGTCTCTGTGTGTAAAAGTGTTTGTGTGTAAAAGCTTCTGTGTGTGAAAGGTCCAGCGCTGTGCTAAGGTTGGCACTTCTGAGCCACGACGTTTCACTGCGATCTACGTCTTCACACCTTCACATCTGCAGATCTACATCTTCACACCTTCACATCTGCAGATCTACTTCCTCGCACCTTCACACCTGCTGATCTACGTCCTCGCACCTTCACATCTGCAGATCTACATCTTCACACCTTCACATCTGCTGATCTACTTCCTCGCACCTTCACATCTGCTGATCTCCCTTTATTTCTCCCTATCCCTCTTTCTCTCTCTCCGTCTCTCCGTCTCTCCGTCTCTCTCTCTCTCTCTCTCTCTCTCCCTCCCCATCTATGTCTCTCTGTGGTCGCAAGACACGTGTCATATGATGCCCTTTACCAAGCAGCACAGTCACAGTGCATATGCATGGGTTGTCACATCCTAGTTACTTTTCACAACTTATCCCTCCATAGCTCATATAAAATTCACCTACCATTCACCGACTATTTTTTACGACTACCATTATCAGAGCTGTTTGAAAAACGTTTTTCTCGCTCTCGGGCCAACCGTCGTATAGTTTCTGATAAGCACTGAATAGGAGTTTTTCAATTGCCATATTTGATTACCGGAGATTACACGAAAAATAGCCCGTCCAAAAATTCCTGAATCTGGTGATCGCGGTGATCGCGAGGTCAGAACTTATTTCCAAACGTCCTTAGACTTGGCATCTGGGATGCACACTGGACCAAGTTGCTGGCTATTGGGCTTGGGAAAGGAGCCAAGGTGCACACCGCATTGAAACTAAGGAGGTTTGGGCAATGTTTTTTTTGCTGAGGCCATTTGGCCCACAATTTCGGGATTGTGATCAGCCGGCTTTGCATCCCTGTCACAACTGGGCAAATTAAGTGGAGTTCTGGGCAATGGGTGGAACAACGGAACAACCTGTTGCTTGATGACTACCGGTTGATATTTTATCATGTGTGCAGCTAAAGCGCTCATGCAAGCGATGCTAGTCCTTCGAATGAATGATCGCAACCAGCAGAAGCAACAACCACGCAAACACGGTCAAATGTGCAAGCAAGATCACGCAAGGAACGGCCAGCAATTAAATGTGAAAGAAGCACACCAACGCGGAACAAAATAAATCAAAAAAAATGCTGCACGATACATAATACAATTACCCCGCAGCAAGGACAGATCAAACAAGCAAACAAACAATCTGGCAAACAAACAATCTGGCAAACAAACACGCAAACAACCCAGCAAAGACACCCACGCACAAGAAAAAACCTTAAATTATCATAGACAGACAAGCAGACAGACAGACAGACAGACAGACAGGCAGGCAGGCAGACAGACAGACAGACAGACAGACAAAGAAGCAAATAAAGATACGAACAAAGGCCAAGAAACCGACCAACCAACCAACCAAACCAACAAGAAACAACAATCAGCCAACAACACCCAACAAACAACAACATTTAAACAACAGCCAGGCAACAACAGCCAGCAACCCACCACACCCACAGCAGCAACAGCAACCGCAACATGCAGCGGCGAACAACAAAGATAACTGGGACGATCCTAATGATGACACAGCATGTATGAAGGTTTCCTAAAAGGTAGGTACCCCCGAATCATCCATTTCTAGATGGGATTTTCCATTGTAAACCATCAATGTTGTGGTACCCTCTTTTTAGGAAACCTCCATATTGGATCTGTCAGTGCAAATTCAGTGCATATGCATGTCAACTCTTACTTCAACATTCACACACACACACTAGACAAGAATGGATCATTATATGATCCGGCAGGAACTGAATCCTGAAACATGCAAACCAGCCTAGATTATTAGATTAATATTGTGGTTGGGGTTCTAAGCTTGGCCCCTTGCTATGTCCGAAAAAAGCAGGTACGTGCAGTTGATCAGACTGCATATCCTCTCCAAACATCAGTAGCTTCGTTGGCCACGGACTGATGAATGGAGCCGTGGCCCCCTGCATTAAAATTAGAATTAGAAAGGGAGAGGACAAAGGAAGAAAAAGAGAGAGAAGTTTTACATCTATTTAGATGTTACACACACACACACCCGGCCGGAGCCGGGTCAACCCTGAAAGGCAAGAGGAAGAAAAAAGCGGACACACGACGGGCAAACGGCCAAAAACAGCGCAGGGGGGGAGGGGAACAGACGGACCTCCGGAACCAACCTACACGGCGAAACGGACCTGACAAAAACAGCGCACACACCTAAACCCCACGACACATTACGGAGAGGCACGCGGGGAAAATTAGGGACCAAATGGGGGACTAGTTAATGACAGGAAAGAAAACCAAAACAATTAATTAAAACCAGGACCCAGTTCCTAGACCTACTGTTCGTGCAATTGTGCCACAACAGGCCCGATGTCAGGTCGTGCCCCGATGGCATAAAACAGCTTCCAAGTTCCAACGAATTAGATGCACAATATGTTTCACCTCACCAAATACCAAAGAGACCACACCTGCAGGAAAAGGACATGCCTGTTGCCTTTTGTCGTGAATGTTATGTTGAACTTCAAATGCGCAAGCTGCAGTGATAAAAGGAAGTTTCTGGTAGTTCGAAGCAGCTTCACTTGAAAGATCAGATCACTGGGATCCCTGGGACATCCGGAGTCGCGGGACATTCAACAAGGCTGATAAACCGCAAGGCTGATTGTTGCCCTTTACTTAAACGAATTACTAAGTTAAAATGTGTGAATTCAGAATTCAAGACTGTCGACACTCACCCTGAAGAGGGTTGCCTCAAATGGCTCCATGGCACCATGTCGGAGCCACCATGGAAATCACACTAGACAAGAATGGATCATTATATGATCCGGCAGGAACTGAATCCTGAAACATGCAAACCAGCCTAGATTATTAGATTAATATTGTGGTTGGGGTTCTAAGCTTGGCCCCTTGCTATGTCCGAAAAAAGCAGGTACGTGCAGTTGATCAGACTGCATATCCTCTCCAAACATCAGTAGCTTCGTTGGCCACGGACTGATGAATGGAGCCGTGGCCCCCTGCATTAAATTTAATTTAGATTTAGAAAGGGAGAGGACAAAGGAAGAAAAAGAGAGAGAAGAAGTTTTACATCTATTCAGATGTTACACACACACACCTGTCAGTACCAATCTTCCCTTAGAGAAAATCGTAACCCTTTAAATCCAGGCCGCCGCGCGCATGTCTCAACTGACACATGTTCCGACAAGTGTGCTGACATAAAATATTGGCATAACGTGAGGTTTCGTGCAGCAATGATCTATGTTTTTTAATGTGGCAGTTCGAGAACACACATGTCAACATGCTATAGAGTTATGTCAGCTATATCCGCCATGACAATGAGATTGATTCTTTAAGTGAGATTTCGTGGCGAGAAATCCTCCGCCAAGGACGTTCATGAAAGCAAAGCTCTCTTCCACATCTTGGATGATGGAGATGGCACGGTGACCCTAGAGGAGAGGTCGGCCGGGGTCAATGTCGACTTAAGAGGAACATGTCGCTATAGACCTCTTTTTTAGTGTTGACCAACCAATTATTGGGGTTCCCAATTTTGACCCATATTATCCATGTATGTATATTATAATTGTATGTATATATGACTTGGGTCTGTTTGCCACCGAAGAAGATCAACAGCAGCAGCAGCCACAACACAGCCATTGGATTGCCACCGGCTTCCCTCCCACATGGCAACAAGAAGAAATCTTGCCCATATTTTTTAAAAAACACAAAAACATGTTGTTAACCAAATGTGTGCAATTAAAGGGCTACTGCCCTTTTGCCGCCAACCCCTGTTTTAGGGAGAGACCAGTAACGATTTTGAAAGTGACGACAACGGAGATCTCACGAGCAAAAGCACAGATTTCACCCTGCGGGGTTTTGGCCTTAGGGCTTTGGCCTTGTGAGGCCGCAGGGATGAACGTGCCAGACGGCAGTTTGGAACCCCCTTCTGAACCACACGTACTTCAGCAAACCTGTGCCGCTTTGGGTGGTTTTTCGCCCATGGCCTTGAGAATGAAGGTGCCAAACAGCAATTTCGAAACCCTTATAGAATGGAGCCGGGTAGCTTTGCAATGGCTTTGCAAGCCTTTGTGCGCCTTTGAATGGTTATGGTCTTGAGCCTTCAAGAAGGAAAGTGCCAAAGGCCGTGTCGAAACCCAGAAGCGGAAACCCGACCAAGCCTTTGTGTTTGCCCCTGGGCCCTCCCTTAGAAGTGGGAGGAGTCTGCCTTAGGGCTTGGAGAACAAGGTTCCAATGCTCTTGCCGCTGCAAGTGGTGGGCAATCGAATAGCACATCCCAACCAAATATGCTGCATGAAAGGGCCGTTGCCATGCCATGAGCACATCGGATTGAAAATTGATGTTTGTGCGAAATTTTCCGGCCGCTGTGGAAGGAAGGCCGTTTAGATGCGAAGATGTCAGGGCTATGTTTTTCCAATGCCGCGACACGCAGGAGTTCATTGATGGAATGCTGCGCTGCAAAGGCAATGCGAGAGCAATTGACCAGGCGGGTTTGGAAACCATAAAGGGGCGTTGAAACAATCGCAGTGTGTTAAAAGCAGGGTGTGGCATTACAGCTGTGTCCTCAATGTCAAACAAATTCAGCGTGTGTACAGTTGTTTTTGCAGAAGCTAGGTCCTCTTGCTGCGGATTTTGCCACCAACTTCCCAGCTCAGTGTGCACCGCTGGACCTCAACCTGGTACCTTCCCAGCTCAGTGCGCACTGCTGGACCTCAACCTGGGACCTTCCCAGCTCAGTGTGCACCGCTGGACCTCAACCTGGGACCTGCCCAGCTCAGTGTGCACCGCTGGACCTCAACGGCCAGATAGAATGCCAGAAGATATGCCAGATAGAACTCCAGATAGAATGTCAGATAGAATGCCAGAAGATTTGCCAAATAGAATGCCAGATAGGATGTCAGAAGATATGCCAGATAGAATGCCAGAAGATTTGCCAGATAGAATGCCAGAAGATATGCCAGAAGATATGCCAGATAGAGTTTCAGAAGATATGCCAGAACATTTGCCAGAAGATATGCCAGGTCCTCCAGAAGATATGCCAGATAGAATGCCAGAAGATATGCCAGAAGATATGCCAGATAGAATGCCAGAAGATATGCCAGATAGAATGCCAGAAGGTATGCCAGATAAAGTGCCAGAATATTTGCCAGATAGAATGCCAGAAGATTTGCCAGATAGAATGCCAGATAGGATGTCAGAAGATATGCCAGAAGATATGCCAGATAGAATGCCAGAAGATATGCCAGAACATATGCCAGAAAATATGCCAGGTAGAATGCCAGAAGATATGCCAGATAGAATGCCAGAAGATTTGCCAGTAACAAATCGATAAATGTCATGGTGGGGATCACACGAAGTAAAGTAAATTTTGCAGAAGCTAGGTCCTCTTGCTACGGTTTTTGCCAAAACCATTCAAGAGGTGAAGTTTCCGGAAACTCTGAAATTTGTGACAGAAAGAAGACAATACATATATTATCATATATTATATATAGTGTCCGGCCTCTAAGAAAAAACTTTGGTAAAGGTTGCCGACTGAAATCACCTGATCGATTTATTGCATGCATGACGGACTGAATGAGTGCAGGATTGGATGGCTGGGCTAAGATTCTGTCCGACATTTTTTTACAGAATCTTACAGGCTGATCGTCTGAATGACTCTTTCAGCTCCCTTTTTTGAAGTTTCCCTGTGGGCTTGGCAGCAACCGAACAGTATGGGGGCAGCTTAGGCCCAGCTCGCCCTGGCCAGAGCCGAAAAATATGCCATCTAAAACGCCAGATTTTAACATATTTGAAGACATGTCAGAAAGACAATTCGGATCAATTCGGAATATACCACTGTCAGATTGGATGCTAGATAAACGCTAGAAAGGATGTCAGATAGGCTGCCAGGTAAAATGTTTCATAGAATGTCTGAATATGTTTCAAATTATTGGTCAGAGTTTCTGTCAGATATTAATTTAAAGTACCAGGGTATACGTCAGATAGACTGTAAGAATGTGCGTCAGATAGAAAGTCACTGTATATATATATATATGTCAAATGTCAGTCGGTGTGGAGGTGTGGATCGCTCTAAGCATTTTCCTATTTAATTTTTTGTTTTTTTTCTCTTACTCTCTTCGTCCCTCCTCTTCTCTCTCTCTTTCTCTCTCTCTCCCCCCGAGTTGCCTAACTACTGTAGCCTTCTTGGAACTACTTTGGGCATCTTCGGGCTACAATATACAAAGCTGTGCTCTTCTCCGTTGGCATCTGAGAGAGTTTCTTGCATCTTCCCGGAACTCTTGGCTTAGGGTGAAGCACAAGAAAACACCGAGTAGCTGCGGTGGAAAACCGGACCCCGCTCAAAAGTGGGGATCTGGTCTCAAAACCCGGTTTGGCAATGAAAAGCATTCTTTTATCCCCTTCTCTCAGTCACAAGCAAGTACAGGTTGCCAACACATGTTCGCACCCTTCTGGGTTTTCGAGTGTGAGTTATGTAAAACCATCGTCTATGAATACTCAATGCTGAAGTATATGGAGTTGCTGTGTGGTTGAATTATAGTCAGCGCAGGTTCTTTGCCGCTAGGGTCGGCAGGTGGTAGAGCTGCCGGCAGAACCACCAGTTGGGAAAAGTGCGATGAACACATCGCAAAACAGTTACTGTGTGTTGTGCCCCCAAGATATCTAAGTTGGCTTATAAGAGTCCAATACTGTGGTTTTTTAGGTGATACATCTATAGTTTTCATTGGCTTATCAATTTATAACTGAGGGGGGGGAACTCCATCAAAACTCCGTGGTGTTTCCATGGATACCGATACCGGTATTACCAGCCAACCATCGATGACAGCTGGAAAAAAAAACAACCACCCTGCCTGTCAAGTGTGATTTTCGAAATTCAGACAAAATCCAAGTACAGCACCCCCTGTGTCATATACTAGTCACGTTGATTCAAAAAAGCCAAGGGATCTCCAGCCGACATGATCCCCATATATATTATTATATCCCAATCAACCTACAAAAACCTGGTCATGTGGCCAGGTAGGTGGCAAATCCTAGCAACCTTCCAATACATGGAGAACTTTGGGAAATGCTTTGTGAAAATAACCAGCTGGGCCAGAATGAGGTCAACAAAATTCTTTGCTTTTCGTGTGAAATTCTTTGCATTTGAATAGTAGTTATGGGTTTGGGTAAAATTGTGTGGCTTGTCGGAACAAAAAAATCACATCTCCCTGGCATTGCCTGTCACAACCGCTCGTTTTTACGAAGCACTATAGAATCTATAGAATGAGTCTAGAATAGAACACAAAGTTAGGTCATCAATGCCTGGAAGCAAACCTTATGATTCTATTTCTTGATGATCTAACAAAGTTTGATTTGGTAAATCAGTGCCTTATGATTGAGTTTCCAATTTCTTACGGCACTTGATTTGTGCTTGTAGACATTCGAAGCCAGATTGATTTTGCCGTTGGTGATTCCCACGGGACAGGTCGCCACTCAAAGAGAGATCAAGCACCTGGACCGAAAGATGAGCAGGCCCCATCAAACTGGGGGGGCGGTGGTTGAATTTATTCATACAGAATACTTATGAATATTAAATTAAATATATATATATATAATACGTGTATATATATACAAATATATATATATATGAGTATACTGATATACTATAATATATTTTCAAAATATATAGTTGCACAGAAAATACATCGAAAAACCAAAGAAACACACGCACACACACACACACGCACACGTATATTTATATATATATATACACATATACACCAACCCGTGGTTGTGTGTTTACTCCAGGGCAAACATGGACCATGACACAATGATAGCTGGACTTGTTTCTTATTTCACCAGCTTAGTTGTCGCTGTACTAAACTTGCATTGGCTTACGTAATTGGAAAGGTGAAATGTTCTCAATTTCGCATTGTCCAGTGCTCCGCATTTGAGAATCTGGTTTTGTTAGTCTAGTTGTGGTGAGTTGGCTACGTTTCCACAAGAATTGGTCGCAGGATTCAAATTCCAAGTGGAGTCAGTTCAACTCCTGCGAGGGCAGATGCAGGGCATTGGAAAGTTCGGCGTTGCAAACACTGCATGTATGTAGTATCTTGATGTTTCCAGATGTATTTTAGTATGCTATGTTCACAAAGGTGATTTCCCTTAGTTACTCCAAGAATATGCTTTAAAGCGAGATACGTTTTGGTTTCAATATTTTTCAATGTTACCTGAACTATCTGCGCAGACTGCTGATGGTCATGGAGTCAGCCACGGCTTCGGAGAGAATCAGCTCCTATGCTTAGTGGACGGGAGATGATCAAAACTGTGTTGTTTTTCCTGGATGATATCCTTTCAAATGTTCAAATGGGGACAGTCAGTCACCATTTTCAGTATCCTTTTTGATTTGGCTGCATTTTAGTGACGTTTCGTTTGGAATGACATGGGCACGTCTTAAAATGCAGGGATGCAGCAGCCATTGGTTCTGCCTTACCACAATAACCTACAATAAAATGATGGATTCAGCCGCAGTTCCACAATTTTGCGATGTGCCGGGTGACATGCCGTACCCGTACCCATTTCATGAAGATATAGGGTTGCCAGGAGAGATTTCCGAAATGATTCCGCAACTTACTGTAAGTGTTTGAACTTGATGAGGGCTTTTATAGTTTAGCATCAAAACTATGGATGATCCCCATAGTTTCCCACCGATTGTAAGGGATGCAGGGATGCCCATTGAGATCTTGATTGTGTTTTGAAACATGTGCATTCACTTGAGTCATCATTTTTTGTTCCATAGAGCGTTTCCAATAAGATCGGATGGATGGCAAGCACAAATAAGATTGTAGGTCGATGTAGGTCGCCAAGCTTTGTGGGCCATAAACGAAAAAAAAACATGAGAAGCATTGTAATCTGCAAGGTGGTGCCCCCTAGTGATGAGTTGTTTTATATAAGCCATCAGTTAGCTAGTTTGAGATATCTGCCATGAATCCAGCACTCAACCGGTTAATAAACCAACTGAGCTATCTGATCAGCACCACACTGTATAAACAATTTATCAGAAGTCAGCACGTTGGGCTCCTGCGGTCAAAAAAGGATGCCTGACAACCATTGGGTCACCCGACTCACGAATGGTCGGTGAAAATGGGCTAATTTGTCGCCAATCATGGAGGAAAGAGAACATTTTCCACAAAATAGGGTTGCCCAGATATGGGCTGTACCTCGAGGAGATGGCTATTTAATAAGGCTTGAATACGGAAAATACTGATGGTCCATGTTCTTTTTGGGGTCTATCCATTTGTTCAGTCAAACCCATCCTGCAGATCATCCCGATGAATGCAGTGAAACACTAAGATTCACATCCTGTGGCATCATCGCGCGAGCAGCGGTGAAGATATTGGAAGGCTGGCCAGGTGGCAGCTCCAAACATGTCCAGAGATGGCAACGATCCAAGACCCCAAAGTTGGGCAGAATGCATGGCATCTGGTGTCTTCTTTCGTTGAGAGAAATATTTGGGGTTCATCCTTCCCATACTTCTTGCAATTTGATCGCGGAATCAGGTGCCCACATCCTTCGCCGAAGGCGATAAAGTTGCTCTTTCAAAGATGTACTGCGCAGAACTGCAGAGTGTACAATTCTGTATAAAAGGACTAGGAAACCTCAGTCCAATCTGCACGAAAAAGATGTGCCCGTTTTCGTTTCTCGAGAAGAAGCAGGGTTCTGTTGTTGGAGCGATTGAACATGTTTGCTGTGGCTAATTCTCTGTGGCAGCTGTCTAGAACCTTTCCGCAGGGTAATGAAATTGCATTCAGCACCAGAGTTTTGGATGAACATGTTTTCCAATCAATCAACCCAGTGATAATGAACTTCCAGTGACTTTCTCTCACTTCCACATGTTTGAAATGATCTCCCAAATTGTCACCCAAATTGTCAGACGCAGGGTAAACTTTCGGCCTGAAGATGTTTCGCTTGCCCGGAGTGCATTTCATGACGTCTTGACGAAGAGCAAAAAACGTAGTAATTCCTGTAATGTGGGCAAAACAATGCCAGAAACCATCCCCAAATCACCATTTTTATTGGTGGCATAAAGCATTCCCAAATTGGTGGTTTATGACATTTTATGACATTGTTTTGACCACATTACAAAATGACTGTATCAACATATTATTGATATGGTCTTGTTTTTGATCGAACATGACTGTGCGATTTGCGAGTGCTGTAAGGGTCTTCGAAGACCCGTTTTCCGAATTCCCTTTTTCATTCACCCTTGTAATGACATTAATGAATGTAATAGTTTAACGAGGGTGGACGATTTGATCCTTCATTGAAGATCTTTGAGTGTAACAGTTCCACGGGTGTGGCATATTTGATCCCTTATTGAAGATCTTCAACATGGGTCATTAAATGTCCCCATTGAACATCACCCAACCATGAGGTATATGGTCTTTTTCATGGCTACTATTTTGGGTGATGTCCAATATTCCCAAAATGGGACATTTAATGACCCATGTTCAATGTAAGTCTGGACACTTTAGAGTTTGGACGGCGCCTCCAGAGCCTAAAACCTGGTGTAGCCGCTACTAGCGCATGTTTTGAGAACCTCCAAAGATGAGGGTCACAAGTGGGTTTCAGGTAGCCTGGCAATAATAGGAACATCCAAATATTATTGATGATCAGTTTGATTTGTATGTTTTTTTTTTGATTGTTGTTATCAGTGTAAATAGTGTTTACTCGTTTGTCCTTTCAATATTAGTTTTGGCAAAATGTTAAAATATAATGCTGAATGTTTTTTTCAGCACTATTATTTAATTATATTTAGTTATGTTATCATGATCATGACCACAACAATCAATTTTTATTTTGATTGTTAATCATTTTTCTTATGATAATAATTAAACCATGATGATGACGGATGATGACGGATGATGATGATGATGATGGTGATGGTGATGATGATGATGATGATGATGATGATGATGATGACGACGTAATCATGGTGATGAAGTAATCATGATGATGAAGTAACCATGGTTGTCATGGAATCCAATGAGATTGTAAGTATATTCGTGTGATATTCTTTTGGTTACTAAGACACATCACAAAAAAAAAAAAACTCATCATTATATAGACACACCCAACTTTCAAATGAATGGTTATAGATATCACTGTATCCCATTCTATCCCTATATGGTTGGTGTATGCCCCATTTCCACCCAATGACGACCAATAACATACCCAAATGGTTGGTTTCATACCCCATTATCATATCCTCATGAACTATCCCCATTCTATCCCCTTTAGTAGCATACAGTCCCGCAATTGGATGATATGGGAAAATAAATAAAGGACCGCCCAAGATATGTGCTGCCATTTCTGGATATCTAATGGCAAATTCCTTCGTTTCCTGTAAATGTTCAATTGAATCCAGCCATTGATATACCAACAACCATGTCGCATCCGACTAACCCCATGTCATTTGCAGGTACTATAATCTCTATCATTAATGTCGATGACTTCTAGTTAAATCCACCATTTGCCAACCTAACAATGTGTTTTTGATTTAGAAAGCGTCGGGGACCTTTTGCCCACAAGGTGGGCTTATACACGAAGACGGCGCTGCGAAAGCCTCTGCCTTGGAGACTTGGGCAAAAACTTCTGAGAAGCCAGGGCAGTTTCAACATACTGAACCCCAATAATATATTGGATAATATTGTGGGATATTATGGGGTAAAGGAACCTAAATGGGAGGCAACTATCATATACAAGGGATATGTCAGGGCTATATAAGGGAATACCCCCAAAAAATATGTCCTTATATGGTACAGTAGCTCCATTTTAGCATCCCCAAATTCCCATTGATACTGTGATAAACCCAATTTTCAATAGGGGATAATATAGGATACCCTCTGGTAAATTAAGATAGACCCTGAATCCATAGCCTAGTTTTAATGGTTTCACTAATCTTCCAACCCCGATGACTGCCAGGGTCTATGTTAATTTACCAGAGGGTAATACTGGGATAATGCCGAGTAATTGTGTGATACCTGGAAGAACTGTCACCATCCTCTTGGTTGGGCCGTTTTTTTGAGAATCTATTCCCAGTGGGACGAAAAAACATTTTTTTTGACCCAAAAAAGTCGCTGGGATGGTGGCGGTTTACCACATGATCATCATGTTCCCACATTACAACCCATGAAGATTGCTATTTGAGGGATATATAATGGTATTTCTTGTACATGTATATACCCAATGTTTAGCACAACCATATTGAACTCCCACCAAAATATGGGTGTTCAACATGTTTTTTTCCTGACATCTTGGTTTTGAAGCGTGGTTTGTTTCACTAAGGTGAGAGATGTGCCTGTTGCGCAATCACACGTGTCGTATCGTCCTTTATTTTTGTCTCGCCCCAATCAGAAATTCCCAACAAGCAGTTGAAGTCAATTGGACCTCTGAAATAAAAGTTGCTTGCCCCTGACGTTGAGTTGAGTTCGTTCACTTTGATCGTTCTTGTATCGTGCAACGTGAACACATATATTGTGGATCTACAGTTCCCTTTTGCGTTTTTTTCTTAGCTTGGAGAACCGAGACGCAACGTAGCTGAAGACGGTTCAAGCCTGAAACACGGATTGTCAACAAACATGACGGTACCTAAGACTACCTAAATTGAAGTTATGGGGGGGCATTGGTGTTGAATGCAAACCGCCATTTCCTGGAAGATGGTCTTGATTTGACGAGCATATTTTGGAGGACCAATACTTTGAGTAGGCAGTGACATTTCTGCTGCTTGCAAGCAACCCATAGGTGGGACAGCTATTGGTGAACAAGGATCATAATTCTCCATAGAGAGCTTGATACTTTGTTTACATTCGTATTCAATCGTCAAGCCTGGGTTTTAGAGGTTGCAACCACAAAACGTTGGACGTGGATCATTATTTTTTTAAACGGCTTGTCTTCAAACATTGATCGCAAGGATCGCCAAACCCAGCTATACCCAGCTGTTCATGACTTGATCTCTTGGCTAAGGAGATGATTCCTTCTTCAGCCCCGCCGGTGTAAAGTGAGGTTTTCTCATTTTCAAGAAGCATCTAACAGATGATATATACGGATATGTATAAACTAAACACATAGCAAATATTATCACATATACATATATATATATATAATCATATAAAATCACATATGAGCTGCATTGAAACCAATTGTTTCATTTTTTCGCGGTTGTTTTTTGTTTTTCATAAAGGACACCATCTGTACACGTAACAAGAAAGAACAAACATAACTTGATGTAAGCTTGGTTTGAAAGGGGCCTTGTGCTTTACCTTTTCTTGGTCCATGTGAACAAGTCACTTACCAACAAGGAACATCTCTGGCTGGCGGAGTGTGCCTGGCCAAAACGGCTGGAAATGCTCGCTGACTGGATTTCCACTGGCGCCAAAACAGTGAAGATGTCTGACCCTTGGCTGGTAAATTTTGAAGCAAACAAAAACACCTTGACCATCCTTTGCCACTGTCATTGGAATGTGGCTTAGTCTGAAAATAGGATACCCTCAAGTCCAATGCATTCTCGTTTTTTTCCCTTTAAAAATGCCGTGTGGGTCATTGTCCCATGTGGAACATAGCTATTTTACAAGCCGTTTGGCTATTTTGGACACCTTGAGAGTTGCACCTGACTTGATGGGACATCCCCTTGCAAGTAAACAATGGCTAGCTGGTGGCTTCAGGTATGTTCAATGCTCCTAGGGTGGTTTAACCCCAAACCAGATTGGCTTAATTATTCACCTTCGAACGGCAAACCAACACAAAGCAACAAGGCCGGGGCCAACGCCTACCAAAGTAAAAGGACATTCTCTCCACAATGTTCGATATGAACACTAACTAAAAAATGTACAATAAGATCCACTCGAGTCCTAGAGTGAGATGTCGCCATTCACAATTAGGACCTAGGTGAAACATACCCTCTTTCCAATGCATTTGTTGCCGTTGCATGATCAACGAATGGATCCCCTCAAAGGGCGGTCTAGTCACTGACCTGTTCGTTGAAAAAGGAATTACTGCGTCCATGTTTGAAAACCTTTACTGTAACTTGGCAGCCCAGTTTTTAGTTTTGCTGATGATTTGATATACCCGTATGAAACGGCTTGAATCTCTAGCTCTATTTAAAGCGATTGATATGTAATGTAATGTAATGCAATGCAATGTAATACAAATTAATGTAAATGTAACGCAATGCAAAGCAATGCAATAAAATGTAATGTAATGTAAATGCAATGTAATGTATTGTACTGTAATGCAATGTAATGCAATGCAATGTAATGTGTGTCGATCTATTTATCTATATATATATATCATTGTATATTATCCATCTATCTACCTGTATGTCTTGTGCATAACGTTACAGCAAGACCCTATGGTTTGCCCGGACCTCCCAACAAGCGTTCGGGCAAACCAAGTTGATGATAATCTTGATGATAATCATGATGATCATCATGATGATAATCATGATGATGATCACGATAATCATGATGATACTCATGAAGGTGGTAATTACTTTTTCCATGGGGGCGAGAGTTTTTTATATCTTATGTAGATCCTGAAACAAACCCTAATTGCAGTGCGGTGAATTATTCCATATGGTGGGACATATTATGTTTTAATGTATACCCTTTACCAGAAACCTTTTTTTGCGATAATTGTGGTTAATGTTCCATGGGGGTGGGAGATTTCATCTCTTATGTAAACCCTAAAAGAAAACCTTACTAACGATTTACTGTTCCACAGGGGCGAGATATTTTATATCTTATGTAAACCCGAAGAGAAACCGGTGTAGCGGTACGGTTCTCTTGGCAAGCTGCAATGCAATGCTCACTTCGTCAACACAATTTCATTTGTTTTGTTTGAGGTTGTTAAGAATCACGTTTTTGCCTTATTCCTGTTGTTGGGCAAACCACGAAGTCTGTCTGTAGTGCGGCGTTATATTTTATGTATATTATACTTATCTAAAACAGTGTCTTACATATCTATATGTATATAGTATTGCTGTATATATTATATACAGTTTTGTTTATATACATATACATAATATGATATAAATATATGATCCTGTTGTTGGGCAAACCACGAAGTCTGTGTGTAGTGCGGCGCTATATTTTATTATATAACTGGGGCTTAAAGATGTGTATTTGGGCGTTTCAGCTGGCCCGAGCACTTGGCCGTGATGGCCGGCCGGGGAGAGACGCCTTCGTGCCATGGCGCCGGTGGCCGGAGAGGCTTTTTTTGGGCCAATTCCTTGGGTTTTAACGGTTCAAACGCGATTTAACTATGGAGCATGGTGATTTAACAATCGACAATGATGATTTATCCAACAAAAATAGTGATTTATCCAGGATTTGTTTTTATTTATCCAACAAAATAGTGATTTATCCAGAGAAATTTGTGTTTTAACAATGGAAAATGGTGATTTATCCAACAAAAAAATTGCTGATTGAACCAGGGAAAATTGTGTTTTAACCATGGAAAATGATGATTTATCCAACAAAAATAATGATTTAACCATGGAACATGGGGATTTATCCAAGACCCATGGTGATTTAACTAGCAAAAAGCAAGGAAATCAAGCGAAATATATGGGATGTCAGTGAGATCTAACTCTTCGAACATGTGGATCTCAGCTTACCAAAATTGAGGGAAAATGATGATTTTTAAGGGCAATTGAACCAATCAAAATGGTAGTATAACAAGGATACCTTCATGGGACCTCACCAGTATAACCAGTCAATGGGATTAAATTGGAGTATACCAGTATATATCCAGTATACCCAATATAACATCATTATAGGATATCCCATCGGATAAAATTGGAATATACCTGGATAATTGTTGCGACGCGACCTCACTGGTTGATGAACCTGGGATCTATCTGGATATAGAGATATATGGGGATTGAACATATGGAACCATGAGCAAAAATGTTCGATAATCCCCCTAGAATATCAATTGCTCATGGCTCAATATAATATATCATATCAATTGAGCAATATTGATTATTTGGGTAATATCAATAATCAATTTTGTAGCCCCAAATGATGCAGCCCCCCATTCTAAGCCTTCCATTAATAAAACATCATGCGTTGTTTGATGGATTAAACTGTTCTGAAAACTATCTAGATTGGTAAATTAGATTTCATTGGTAAATCAACTTTATGGATCCTCATTGTTTGATAGTTAAAGTTGATTAAATTTGTGAGTAACATGCTTTATCCTGCTTTAAAATGTACAATTGTGGGTGGAATCCCCATGAACACCAGCCTTTTCTTCAGGGACCTTATGCTCAACTTTGTTTTGTAAATTTATTCCCAACTTGAAGGGATCAGTTGGCACAAAAAAACATGCCATTAAATTAATAAGCTATAACTATAATTTGTACAAAGACACCATGTTTCTTTGTATGTGTTCCCTTTAGCTTGAACCAAACATTGAACCGTACCATACTTGGGGATGAATTATACCGGCCACAAAAATTGTAATATCCGGGATGGAAAAATATGCAGATCCTAAGCAACAAAATGAAATTATCGCCAGGATGACGCGAGACGCACGACCCTCAGAGTGTAGCGCAGCTCACCACCAGAGATTGGATGAATGTAGGATAATTACCCTTGAAATTTCTTGAGAATCAGTTTTTTTTCATCGTTGTTTCCGATGAATATTGCAATTTTGCATGGAATACCCCATTTTCCGACATGCCCACCAGGGTAGATGATGACAATTATTTGTTTGGACCACGAAGTGATGTTTTCTTTCAAGCCGTTCTGCAGCATACCCTTTATCAACAGGGGCTGTAATTTATTTCTGCATGTTGCCATCATTACAGTTTTATATATGGCCTCCGAATATATCTGATCATCACCATTCATACGCGGATCGTCAATGGCATGTTACCTTCTGCAAAAAGCTATTGAAAATGGCCCAGTCGAAATAGTTGATTTACCCATTGAAAATGGTGATTTTCCATAGTTATGTAAAGGTTTACCAGAGGGTACATGTTGCCAGTTTGGCTATCGCTTGCGATCTCAGCTGCACTTGCCAGTGTGCCTTTTATCATCTCAGATTCGGGTCATGGCCGGAAGGTGGCATCAGCACAAGCCAAGCATGGCTTGAGCTGACTGAATTCAGGATCAATGGTGATTGTAACGGGATTTCCCTTGAGCCTGGCCATGGCTCAAAAATGTGCGCTACGAAGCGCAGTTCTAGACCTAACCTGGATCGGTGACTAACCTGGGATTCCTGACAAGTATGTTTTTTGTGACACCTTGGATGAGGTCATTTATGGACATAAATGGACATTGCTTGCCCATTCCTTAAGGAAGTTGAAACAGTTGTTGGGACCAATCCATATGCCGCGGTCCCGAACAATCCCATCCCCCATTCAATCCTTAAACATCATCCAGAAACCAAGGTGAAATGTAGGAGATTTTCACACACCCTTCTAGGACCATGGAATGGGCGTGTTTAAAAGGAACGGAGGATGGATGGTTTTTTGTTTATTTGAAAACTAGCTATAGATATACCTAACGTGAACCCTACAGTTATAGCCCAATACTAGCCCAATACCAATCTAAAAAAATATAAATGGGGGTATCATTCCATAAATGGGGATAACTGGTAAATATCTACCAGAAACCCTCAGAATTAATACGGTTGTTGTTCACCACTGAGCTATGCCTTGCTGGACCCAGGGACCTCACTACTGAGCGCTTTGCGCTGTGGTGAGGCGGGTTTCTTTGTGAAGATGAAACAGTTCGACATGGAAAGAAACAGTGGAAACTTCACAGTAGCTGCGCCATTTTCAGACAATCCCTTAAAAAACATGAAGTTTGAAGTTGTCACTGACCAGGCGCAGGTAGGCTCGCAACAGGCATCTCAATAATACCTCGCTGCGTAGGCTCTCAGCGTTTGCTACCACCTCCAGCCAGACGATTTGGCCAGTCTGTTTTGCGCGAAGCCAAGATGAATGCTTGTCGCATCCTGCAGAAAACCCTAGTGAAAAAGAATACATGGAAAGCCATGAAATGTTCGTAGAACTAAGAATATAATTATCATTAATTATCATTAATTATCATTAATTACCATTAATTATCATTACAATGACCACATTAATTATCATTATAATCATTTAATATGGAGATTTCATGGGTTGTATAACGAAATCTCTCCTCAAGTTGGGGGGTCAAAACTTTGGTGGCACGGATGGTGTTGACTATAACTTGCCACAGCTCACAACGGTGTTGAGGTGTGGCCAAATGGTGTTCATGCAGTCACCGTGCAAAGTTGTGGTGCTCGTGCCCCCTTGGAATCAGCCCCGATCCCTCCGAGTCACAAACAGGCAAAATGTTGGCACTCCATGATTTTGTTTTGTATCAGTTCATGTATACCCAAACCGATCCTTAGATCTGTCTGGTCGTTTGTGCATAAATCGTTGATATGTTGACCCCCTTTGCCTGAAAAATTGATTGACTCTCTGGAAATCGTTGATGGCTGTGGTACTTGAACACCGGGGGATCTCAAAGATGATTTAAGCCGCAATTTCTGGCGTCATGAGGAAAATGGTGATTACCCAATGGATGAAATGAGGTTTCCCAACATTTTCAGGTTCCAAACTCCAAACCCAGCCTTCAGGATATATCAGGTCCTGCCATGTCCTGCCATGTTTTGAAGATACCACAAGAGCCTTCAGACACGGGGAATCCACAACCGTTTTGCATCACAGGTACTACGTACTTCGCTGGGGTGCAGATGGCACTGGTGCTAAGACGCAGGTGGGACGCAGCGTGATGGATCTTGGGGCTTCAGCTTAGGAATCTGTAGCTACCCTCTGGTAAACTGCTACATAACCATGAAAATTCACCATTTTCGATGGGTAAATCAACTATAAATGGCCATGTTCAATAGCTATGCTAATTTACCAGAGACTTTCTCTAGGTATTTTCAGCTATCTTGGCCAAGCATTTGGATTTGAAGATGGTTGTTTTCTGATTGCCATGTTTGGTGTCCAGGTCTGTATAGGTCTGTACTACATACTGACCTTGCTGGGCACTTTTAGATAAAGTCTGCAAAATGTATGTTGATCTGCAAATTTGGGGTTACAACACCCATTTGGTTAATGGTTTCGAACACGATAATTATTTCCACTAGTGCTCCAATTTATGATACATATTGGGTTGGTGGCTCTAAACACCATCATGACGAGCAAACCACGAAATTATGGAATTGTTTGGTTGACTTATAGTTATCGTGATATTGGTATTAACCAGTTTAGGAAAGAATCGAAAAAAAAAAACACCATAACCAAACGGTTTGGTGTTATTCCCTCTTCACCAGCAGTTGATGACAGCGAAGATTCCTGCAGATTTCTGCCCTTTGAAAAAGGTGCGACCCTTGCGGTCATGGATCGATGATACACCGGCACCCTGGTGCGCCCGGACATGTTGAGTGGATGCTAATCCCCGGTTATTAGTGTGGGGATATTATACCAACCAAAACATCAATAACAATAATAATCATATTGGGATTTAATATGATTTAATCACAATCCATGAGGCGAAACCCTATATCAACTATATCAACTAACCAGCATGAAGGGTTTGAACACTGCTCATTTGGGAATGCTAAGACTAAACTCAATTAAAATGCTGGGTAATGTCCCTGGAGATCCCTGAAACCTAGTGGTAAACTCTAAACCCTAGACCATGTTTTTAGATTGCTCCATGTTTGGAAAAGTGTTTTAAAAGGTAATACATGGTAATACCAAAAGGTACAACCCCATAGCTATCCTTATTGGGAACAAGTAACAAGACTGAATAATATGAGTAAATGTTTGAATCGTATGGGGGTTGGACATGGACCCAGTAATAATAAGTCTCATTTTGCTGTGGTTTATAAAGGATTAGCATTGATCGTCATCATTTTGCCTACCCTTTCCATTCTTGGCACAACTGGAACAACGTTCAGCGCAGGAATGTCGTAAAGCCAAAACCATCTTGACAACCCCCAATTCACCCGTTTTCCAGTTTAAAGTTCTAAAGAAGGGTTCATTCTTAGGTTTACCACAGTAGACCTCATGATAGGACCCTTTCTTCAAGGATGTTCAAGTTCAAGGTGTGTAAGGATTTGTAAAGACACCCAAATGGTAGAATCCAGGTTGTGGTTTATAGTTGGGGTTACCATGTTATATTCTGCTAGACTGCTAGACGCTGATACTATGCTGCAGGCCATCCACGCCAGACCACTGGGAGAAAGGGGAAAGCAGGATTGAAGATTGGATATGATACAAAGCATATTTTATAATCCTACAAAACATACTTAGACTTTGGTGTGTAAAGCCATACAGTAACACATGCAATTCAATCGGAGGTGGTATCATAGTTGACTGCTAAAGGAGTTATGCAAACACTTTCGGTGAGTCACCTGGTGGTCAAAGCTCAAGATCTACCCTTTGGTTATTTGTTACGTAGCCCTCATAATTTACATGGCCCATTAAAAAATCATTATCAAAATTATGATTTACCATGATTTGCCTATATCATGATCTAAAAATTGGTGGGTTTCCCAAATAAAATTGTTAAACAACCAGAGGGAACACCTAACAAATTACTGATCCATCCCCCTCTCAGATGGGAAGGATATCGACATCTCGTCAAGTTTGAATTTCCCTTGGGAAATACTGTGTTGTGTTTGTCATTTGAGCTTAAACTTTAGGGTTTTTTGTGGGTTTAAGGCTTTAGGCTCAGAGTTTTTGGGGCCTTTAGGGCCTAGCATGATGACTGATGGGCAAACCAGGGGGTTGCATCCAGGGAACATAGTTTGAACATCTAATTGTCGCGGTTCAAGAATTATATTGGGGTTTCTTAAAATGGTGGGTCCACAAAACCTTAGGTTTGAATACTAAAATGGTCTAGTTTTGGATGATTTGGGGGTACACCCATTTTAGGACACCTCCATATAGTCCTCACTTTGGTGGATCATCATCTCAAAAGACAGGCCGCTAGTCGTGGGCTTTTGCAGTCCACAATCAGCGTTGGATCACTTGTTTTGGCCGCACCCTTTGGTGATGGGGGACGTGCTGCCATGTGAGGGTCTAGTTCATGGGCAAGTGTTGAGTTGTTTTTCTTACTTGATGTCATATTGCTGAAATATGATCGATATCAAAAGTCTGTCAAAACATTGTGGGTTCCATTCCACCATGATTCTTCCAGTAGTTTGCCTTTAAAGAATCGGATCGCCCCTTTTTGTTATTCTTCCAGACCCACTACAGCTGTAGCATCCAGTCATGTCAAATAACTTGGAACCTCCAAAGATAAATGTACAGATCGAACATGTTTAATGCCATTTAATGCCCAGAATTTCACAACAGTCTGCAGCTTGGCAGGTTACAGAGAAATTCGACTCATAGATATTTTTCGCTTGGAGGATTAATCCAGAATCGACGGAAATATGTTTGCCCATGTGTCTGGATGTCACGTCGTGACCGAAAACTGGTATGTCGTGACCTCACCAAGGTATGATGGTTTACTGACCGAATCATCCAGCTGAGTGACCAATTTGATTTCCCTATAGTGAATGATAGAAAAATTCAGCCAGATGTGAATGACAAGGGAAATTTTAGGGTCTACTTATGTTCTCACTGTGTTTCGACCGAGGTTCGTGCCTGTCATACGGAGTACCCTTCTGGTGGCGTCCTCGGTTTTGTTTCCCACCATGATTGTCAGGGATATATTAATAACATGATTTAACCATATTTAACCAATGAGCCATGTTTTTGCACGGGGATATGATGGTGATTTACTGTAACTGTAAATGGCTACACGGCTACATAATGCGGTATTTAACGTGTACTATATATAACATTCTATAAATACCAAATATCAAATATATCCAACTTTTGTTCTCGATTTGTCTCTGAAAATGACCATTAGATGATGGAATAACACGGACATAACCTCAGATATAGAACTCTATTTGTATCCTCACCCAAAGATTTTGAAACAACAACGCCGGAAAACCGCGAACATCATCGCCCCATCAGCTGGTGTTGGGGGCTACATGGGGTTAGTAACTACGGGCTTGATCCTGGAGCTTTGTCGCATGTCCCGAGGGTGGAAGAGGAATCCGCACAGCTGTAAAGCCTCCATACATTTGCTATTTGAATTACCCTCTGGTGAACTAACATAGCAATGGAAAATCCCAATTTTTAATGGGAAAATCCACTATAAATGGCCATTTTCCATTGCTATGTTAGTTCACCAGAGGGTAAATAATCCCTTCCTCCTAATACTCAACGTCCCCCCTCACCCATCCCCCCCTAATAATAAACACGGCAGGTAGGGCTTTAGATGTTTTTAGTATTAGGGGGGTATTTATTAGTAGGGAACCCTATTAATAAAATTTAAACCCTTAATAATAAAAACTATGTTTTCCGATCTCAAAATCAATTAAATTTCTTTATATAACGCAATGAAAATATTGCCAAAAATTGGATTTCGAAGCTTCCCCCTAATATTAAATAATAATAAAAACTATTTTTTCCGATCTCAAAATCAAATAAATTTCTTTATATAACGCAATTAAAATATTGCCAAAAATTGGATTTCGAAGCTTCCCCCTAATATTAAATTAAAACCCTTAATAATAAAAACTATTTTTCCCGATCTCAAAATCAAGTAAACTTCTTTATATAACGCGATTAAAATATTGCCAAAAATTGGATTTCGAAGCTTCCCCCTAATACTAAACTAAAAACCTTATAAACAACTAAAAAAATCGGACGGACCCTAATAATAAACACCCCGGGGTGAACTAGTTTTTTAGTATTAGGGGGGAAAACCAACAAATGATAGCTTTATTTTTAAATTGTTTCCTAAAGGGGATCAATTAAAAGTCAAATTGGCCAATCTGAAATTTTCCAAAATTGGAGATGGACACTAGTTTTTAGTATTTGGGCGGGGTTTAGTAATAGGAGGAAGGGATTATAATTAATCTACTTCATTTCACTTCTACAAATGGATATGAACATGGTAACATGGTGGATGATGTGGATACTCCTTTATCAGGTTAGATTTTACTGCCGGGTGTGAATTCCTCGTTGATTTTTTGCTGTTGAAATAAAAAAAACATCCCCATATATTCCCTCCATATAGGTGACCCTGCAGTAGCGGCTAGCGTATATGTGGGAAATCATCTATCTGTAGATCATAGAGAAGCATGGTATTTCAACATCTATGTTATCAATGGGAATTTCAGGATCCTAAAATGGAGGTACTCTACCATATAAGGCCATATTTTGCTGCGGTATTCCCTTACATAGGCCTTACATAGGCCTTATATATGGTAGGTACCTCCAATTTAGGTCCCTGAGTCATGGCCATTGATGTTAGTTTACCCTACGGCAATTAGATTTTTCGTCAGCCTGTTGGTGAAATCACCGGTCCCGCTGAGGTCAAAAAGCAGAAACATCGACCACCACCCTCACCGCGGCTTGTGTGGCAGGTACACGGATGGGCCCAGCTAGTCCCGGATTTGTTCATGGTGATAAAAAGGAACAAAAAAAATAACGAAAACTTGTTGCGTGAGTAGGGTTGATGAGGAATTAAGACAGTTGAATGAAGTTCTACAATGTTCTACAGTTGTTTTGCTATACTATAGATATAGTATATATATATACACTGTATATATATACGTAGGTATTATCGGAGCTGCCAAGGCTTGCGGTTGCCACAACATACATGAAACCAAAACAAACTCCATTTCCGATGTCTAAAAAGTAGATGTCCCTTTTTGGGGGGGTTCCATCCTTGCTTTGAGGACCCGGTCGGACCCAGCGCCTTCCACCCTGGCAGGTGGCTAGCCGTGTGCGTGCCACGCCCATGGGGAGCGAACGTGTTTGCCGCTGCTTCGTTTGCGATTCCCTGGAGGCACGGTCTGAATAGTGTGTTGTGGGGGACCATCCTCCAGGCCCTGGCCAAATACCCTCTGGTAAACTAACATAACTTTGGAAAATCACCATTTTTAATGGGTAAATGCACTATAAATGGCCATTTTCAATAGCTATGTTAGTTTCCCACAGGGTAAATCATTTACTGTACAGCAACCCGAAGAAAGATTCAAAACAGTCATTTGCCATGTGAATCGACAAAATTTGACATTTCTATCTTTTGAGGGTCCTATACTCAATGAACTGGTTTGTTGAGGAAATCCGCAAGAAGGCCTAGTTTCGACACCCAAATTTGTTGGGGTGTCTTGTAAAATTTCACCAAACATATTTTGAAAAAATATGGTATACCCAAACAATTACCATATTATCATGGTGATTTTAACAGAGAAGTAATTTACAATATTATTTTCGTAGGATTGTGTTTTATCCTGTTTTGAGGTTGCTATGCCTATACCCCAACACAAACAACATCGCAACAAATTGACCACTATGAACCACTGTTCTCCACATATCGACCCAGTCACCCCATGTGAGCCACCATTTTTTTCTGACAAGGCTCTGAACATATTTCAAATACCTATAAACAAATTGCAAACGTTCATGGGAAAATTCATGATAAGCCAGTGTGACCAATTTGTAGTGATTGGACTCTGTTCATTATTTAAGAAACCATGATCTAATTTCCATGATAAACCATAAGAAACCATATATGTTGCCATGTGAATCCACAAAAAACTGCCGGAGTTTGCCGCAGCACTTCCCACCTAAACCAGGTGGCGCCCCCTGGCCCCGAGCCGCAGCACTTCCGGCGTCGCTGGACGCGGCCGTGCCTTGGGATGTTTTGTGATGTGGGAGTTGACCCGGAACAATCGGGACTTCACCAACAAAACATGAAGAAAACATGGTGATTTAACATGATTTAACTAGGGAAAATTGTGATTTATCCAGGGAAAATGGGAATTTATCCAGGGAAATTGGTGATTCATCCAGGGAAATTGGTGATTTATCTACGAAAATTGTGATTTATCCAGTGAAAATGATGATTTATCCAGGGAAGATGGTGATTGATCCAGGGAAAATTGTAATTTATCCAGTGAAAATTGTGATTTATCCAGGGAAATTGGTGATTTATCTACAAAAAAATGTGATGCATCCTTTGAAACGGAAAATGGTGATTTCTCCAAGGAAAATTGTGATTTAACGAGGGAAAATTGTGATTTATCCAGGGAAAATGATGATTTATTATGACTTATCGAATCAAGATAGTGATTTAACCTGCAAATATGGGGATCGGATGGAATCCTTTTTAGCTCCTTGAGAATTGGTCACGACTTAGTGACTTTGGCTGACAGTAGTCTTCCAAAGCCCATAGCTGGTGAAGTTTATTTTCTGGTTGGTTTGGAACATGTTATTTTTCCACATATTCTGACTCATATTTTTCAGAGGGGTGGCTCAACCACCAACCAGATTTTAGTTGGGGGAGCGGGTAACCAGATCATGTTGGTCTTTAAAGCGACAAATTCAATAATATTTGATGAGTACCTTGACCGATCAACATGTTGGGCGTTGACCAACAAAAAAGAATGTTTTTACACCAAGACGGGTAAACCCACAGTTGATATAGAAAGGTCAGTTTTATTTTTTGTGCGGGAATCTTGGAGATTCTGACGAAATGATATGTCAGATTCACTGAAACTGAAATTATACTTTTTCTTTCGGGGTTTCACATATCTCCAATCATGGGAATCATGTGAAAGTGGGATGCTTGGCTCATACGAAAAGGGATGACCGAGGATTTTTGCAACACAAATGCGTGCAGGAACGGGAGCTGAAACATTAATGATTTTAATCAAATTGATTTTACACATGCTGAAGAGAAAGAGAGAGATAGATTAATATATATATATTTATATTAATATCTTGCATCAGGGGTAGTTTCTCCAAACTATATACACGATAAGGCAACAGTGGTGGGCAAAATCAATAACAAACAGGGTGTGTATTGGGGATTGAATTACTACACATGTGACATCATAGGTTGAGCATCAAGTAGGCCCTTCTAGTCAGCCTGCACTGGTCATTTTTTGCCCCTTTGATTGTGGAGAATTTCACCAGCGAACATCCACAATTCATTGACCTGTGGTGCTTAATTGTATTTGAACCTGGCAGACCTGGTCGAAAACCATGTTGTGAGACAGACGCTCACGGTCATTGGAGTCAAACCAGCTTTGAGATAGCCACATGGACTACCATTGTTTTTCATCGGTTTCAATAGTTTCAATTGCATTCCATTCCTCTTTTGTCCGACAGATTGGACAGCTTAGTGAAGTAGTCAACCTGACAATGACAAGCCATTTTTCATTTCCGGATCAGTACCACCGGTTTGAAATTTGGATCGCCGTGCGTTGATCTTGACCAACAAAACATTCTCGGGTCCGCAATACCCAAAACTCCTGCTGGTTGATGGGTCTATTATGTCATGATATACTGACTGCCTTAGTGCGAATGATTTATCCACTGGTAAACTAACATAGCTATGGAAAATCACCATTTATAGTGAGTTTTCCCATGAAAAATGGTGATTTTCCATAGCTATGTTAGTTTACCAGAGGGTATCCACTATGTTGCTTGTTTCTTGCTAGATGTCCATTTTTGGTTTAGGGATCATACTAAACCAACTAGATACTGATGGATAGTTGATGACACTGATACTACTAGTTATAATGATATATAGTAATATATAACAATTTAAATAATATATTATATGATAATGTATGATAATATATGATAATATATCACGATATGTAATAATATATAATAATATTACTAGTAATACTAATTACAATAATAAACATATAAATATATAATCATAATATATTATATATGATAATATATAATATATTTAATATATGATAATATATTATATTTGATGATATATGATAATGTATAATAATAATAATTAATACTATTTAGTAATAATTAATAATATATAATAAAATGTAATAATTCAACAATATATTAAAAATAAATGATGATATATGATATATGGTAATATATGATAATATATCATGAAATATGATAATATGTGATATGTTATAATACATAATAATATATCATACTCTATCATGATATATGATGTATTTTTAATACATAGTAATATATCATACTCTATCAAAATATTTGATAATATATGATATATGATATATAATAATATGTAATAATACTTAATGATTTATAATAATAAATAATAACATATAATAATATATAGTAATATACAATAATATTTAATACTATTTAATAATATACAATAATATTTAATACTATTTAATAATATATAATAATATACGTATAATAATATTTAATAATATATAATGATACATAATGATATGTAATCACATATAAGAATATATAATAATAATTTAAAACATAATAATAATAATAATGATAATAATAACAATCAATAACTAATAATATACAATAATATTTAATACAACATAATTATATGTAATAAATCAATAATATATAATAATATGAAATAATTTAACAATATATAATGATATTTGATAATATTTGATTATCGATAACTTATCTAATGATTCACCAGCTAGATAATGATTATATAAGTGTTAATCCATGAACCATCTTCCCAGTTCAGCAGAAACTTCATTGGACGGCCTAGGTGTCCTGGCTGCGCACGCTTTGCCCATCGCAGTTGCTTGGAGAGAAGGCTCTTGGCGCTTGATGTAGGCCGGGGACAATCGGGCATCCAAGTCCATGGTTTCATCCAGTTTAGGACATCTCCCGGCCATGGTTCAAAAACCTTTGGCCATACTATTTTTCTTTTGGATTACAATCATTTTCCATGGTTTTCCGGAGAAGACCGGGTTTTGATCATACAATCAGATTTCTTTATTTTTCGATGGCCAGAAATTTTTGGGAGGCTTGCGATTTTCAGACAGATCCAAGTATGAGACTTGAGAAATATAGAAAGGCTGCATCATTCGTGCAACTGAAACCAGACTGAGTAGATTTTGGAGAAGAAAACAGAGGGATCAAAACCGGGTGTATTGTGTACTGTATAATCTTGGTTTGGCAACAAAAATAGGTTGGGGATGGTTATGAATGTAACAAGACATGTTTCAATTGGGTTCATCTATCAGTTGATTCAATGATAGTCAATGTGATCAAGAATTCGCCGAAGTGTGGTTTCAGTCTTACATATACCGGCAATCAAACGTGGAAATTGACAACCACTATTCATGATTTTCTCATTTAAAACTTCATTAATTTGGCATTTCCAGCCATGTTTGATTACCAGAGGGTATAACTCTTCAGCTCCGAAAGATTGCAAGGTGATGGGGGTCTGGGGTGGAAGTCATGGCCGTGGCTGGCATCATCGAGCTGAGTGGGAACTTTGCAGGATCGAGTACTGAGTCACTGGAGAAACAGCAACAGAGATACCAATCCTTGTTCGCATGACATCTCCAACTACGACTCTTGCATACATTCGCTGGAAAACCTTTTTTTTTTTTTAATCATGGCAAGCTGGATCCCAATTTTTGTTGTTGGGATGATGATCCAAAAGCAACTGGCACATATTCTCCTGTTCGGGGGCCAGAGGTGTTGACACCACAGTTTGCATCACCGGGTTGACAACAGCCACTCTATAAGCCATGCCGGGCCAAAGCCGTTTCTACATGCAGAATTGCGGAGCGGTCGATTCTTCATGCAGGTGACTTTTGGTATCGGCCGGTGGGAGATCAAGGGGTGGCATTTCATGGCCAATAATCTCATGGCTTAATAGTGGTGAGTATATAGTCGGTCAATGTTAAGTAATTATATATATATATTTATACGTGGTTACATCATAGTGGTTGATCCTGCTTGATTTTGGCATCCCTCATGTTTGGGCAGATCAAAACGAGATCAGTCAACCTCTCAAAGAATTGAAGGGGAAAAAACATACAGAAAGCCCCAACGGTGAACGGCTCCTCATGCTTCCTAAAAACCAGAAACGCTGTTGGCGCGAATGCATTTGAAAGCAATTGAAATCTCTCCCTCTCACCTACCCTCTGGTAATTTAACATAGCTATTGAAAACGACCATTTATAGTGGATTTTCCCATCAAAAATGGTGATTTTCCATAGCTATGTTAGTTTACCAGAGGGTATATCATTAAAAAAAACAGTATGAATTGAATTGATTGATTGATCGATTTTTCTGGCCAATTGATTGATCGATTTTTCTGCCATGAAATGATTGTTGGGTCTGCGGTCCCAGGTCCATGGCTCGATGATCATATACTTAGCACTGGCTGGCGTTGCCAGCCTGGCGTCCGAGTCACAGGCCAAGTACCGGCCACTGCCTGTAACGAAGTACCGGCGACCTTTCGATTTTTTGCATCCTGCAGATGAAAAAGTCAAATCATGTCAAATCCTAATAAAGTAGTGGCAAACTCCTGGCAAACATTACTTGTTTCTATCTTTTTGGGTTACTATATTCATCTATATTCAATATTCTGGTAGATGTTCTAAACCTTCAATTGGATTCGGCGTTAGACCTGCAGGCACTGTCCGAAGTAAGTTCAGCGATTTATCCACAACAGAAACATGATTAGCTCACCCTTGTTCACCATTTCTCGTTGATATGGTATATACCCTCCGGTAAACTAACATAGTGAACTGGAAAATCACCATCTTTAATGGGTAAATCAACTATAAATGGCCATTTTCAATAGCTTCTTGTATGTTTACCAGAGGGTACCTGCTAAACCCTTAGATTGGAAAAAACAACTCTGTTTCCAGAAAACCTGTTTTTTTGCAAACAGTGTAGAAAAAAGTGCTCTAGAGCACTTTTTACCGTTCGAGGCTATTCTTGGGTCTTTAGGGTATATCATTTCCAATCTCAGGTGAACATAACTGTATAGAGGGAGATGTTTGTATATATTTATATACATATGATATTAAAAATACATAGAGGTTTCCTGAAAATTGCACATGCATACAAACACATGCATATACACTATATATATATATATTTGTAATCATCAACATGTGGGATTGAGAAACAATAATATAGCGCACCAAGGAACAAAATTACATGTCCTGTTCCCAAATTCAATTTATATATATTATGAATGGTCTGATTGGTCTGAGGCCAAACTCATAGAGGTAATTAAATACCTTCGTGGGAATGTCGACCTCCGGCTCCCGGAGGAATGGAAGCAATGCTTTCCAACAAGACTGTGATCAAGTTTGATCAGAATGGTTATGGGGAAAGGTATACCCTAAATACCAACAAAATGCTTCGAAACAATTTCACTGCCTACATATATTCGATCAAATGGTTTTGAGGGACAGGTAGGCAGCTGCAGGGAACCCTGAAATTGTAAACTTCATTTTTCTGAATGGTCAGGGGGGCATGTTGACCCGGGAGCACCCATGGATTGCCAAATATTGGCTTGTCACTTTTGTCATGGTTTGAATGGTGGCTATCTGGGATTTTTTGACCCACAATGGAAAATTAACAGGAATCTTCAGGTTTTTAAGCGTTTTCCAAAAAAAAAAAGAGAAAATCAAGAAAAACTAAAAAAATGGAAAAAAACGGATTGAAAAAAAGCGTAAAATTACGTAAAAAAAAGCGTTCAGATTGGAAATTACTGTTCAAATCCAATTGCGTAAAAAAAGCGTACCCGTTCGAAAGCGTTCAAAAAGCGTTCGAAAAGCGTTCGAAAAGCGTTCGAAACCGTTCGACATTACGCAAAATGTTACGTAAAATGAAAGACTTTTCAAGATCCAAACAAACCATGCCGTCCCCAAAGTCACCTGGACCACTCTGGGAAAACTTGATTCAAAACATTGACCCTTTTCAGATTTACTATCCGCAGTTGACGTGCTGGAAAAGATTTTAACGCAGTGCGCTGCCTCTCTCTTGGTTTTTTCAGCTATGCAACATTCACTGGTCACCTGTTTGGAGTCATATCGGCTACTAGAGGTTACACCATAATTTTGAAGGTATTTTGAGACTCCTATATCCCTTTTCAATTTACATCAGTTTTACTGACTGGGATGTGCATGCATTTATAGCTTTTGATTGGCAATTATATAATTTTCAGTTGGCAAAGCAAACGTCTCAGTCCTGTGGTTGGTTTTTTGTTTCAGCAGTATAAGCCTCACAATCCCAAATCCTGCTAGATCGCGTGAGAAAGGTCAGATTAAATTTCCCCTGATTCCAAAGATTCGCATGCTGCCTACATAACCAGACATGTATCACCTCGTTTGATGGCATTGCGTACCTTCAACCGGTACCTTACCCAGATCATGCTGGCTTGGCGAAGCTGATAGCCTGCAGTTGTTTCCCTCTATAAGACTATACATATATATACACATCAGCTTTATATTGGTGTTTTCTACAAACAACAGCCAGTCAGCTTGAGTTTGGAGGCCATCGTAAGATATCATGCCAAATGGTATGATTTAGTCATTTTGCAAGGAAAACACCTCTAGAGCGTAAAAAAGCGTTCGGATTGGAAAAAACCGTTCCAGAGCACTTTTTGCGTTCAAAATGGCAAAAAAACACGTTTTCTTAAAACAGAGCAGAAAAAAGCAATCTGGAGGGTTACCAGGTAGGTGTGTTGGAAGGCAACACGGATGTTTGGTAACGGTTTACCCGGAAATCCCGGAAGGTGAAAAGCTACCTGACAGCTTTACTGGCGACCTTCATCCATAGTTCCATTGTGTTCCTGTTCCACATGTCAATGGCTTGCCTGAAGGAAACAACATGGAGAATTCATAGAAATTAAGAAGAAATCTTATATTGTGTATCACAAGAGTCATGAGATAGCAGCTTTTCCAGAATTTTCATGCAATTCTGGACTTAAAATTCTCACAGGATGGTGCCCCCCAGGTATAAGATGTTATAATTAAGTTGGTTTATAAACCATTATAAACCCCATTAATTAACTATAGTTATATCTACCATAAACCATAGAATTCAGCCACTTATAGGGCAACTGAACTCTATTTTGGGGACCCCATCCTGCAGCAACAGGTCTGTGTTGTACCTCATCCCAGCAACGAAAACTGGACCTTGGACGGAGCCGAAGCCTGGCGTCTTATGGTTTTCTGAATGGGAACCACCTTAGAATCACTTCAGATTGGAGATTCATATATATATATATGTATATTATATATATATATGTATATTATTATATATATATATCTTGTGTATATATATATAATTATATATATTTATTATTATTGGGATTTGCGATAATTATTTTTTTCCTCATGTGGTATTTTGGCTGATCGGCTATATTTACTGTGCTTACCCTTTTTCATCGTTCTGCCGGCCCTGAACCACAAAAGAAAACTCACTTCAACCAGCACCGGCTGAACTGTGTCCAAAACGTGCTTCTGGGCCAAATCACAAGCCCAGGGACAAAAATGATCCTGCAAATCGGACAGATAAGTGGGTTTGTCTGAAACTAGGCCAAGAACACAGACAGAACCCGGCGGTGCACACAATCATCGTCAATCATTGTTCCCATTTGTGGGCAAACCCAAGTAGTTGGAGAATAAGTTCATGTACCTGTTTTGGAGCCCTTCAATTGGTAATGGTCTTGTATTTCTTGATATTTTTGTAGTATTGAGCCATCCATTTTGTGAGTTTGATACTGTAGTTTCCACATAACCCGAGGATTCTCCAAGTGGATACTCGTTCTGTGCTCTTTTTGAATTTCATTCCATTTGGCACTCCAACTTTTCTGGAGCTATCGCCTATTATCCCATCATTAGATGATATTTCATGATGTTCCCATCACATCCCGAAAAAATTGAACAAATGTCTCCATGACGTCCCCATTCTACCTCCATATTTCTTAAATTTCAATCCCAAGACGTCCCAACATGAACATTTATTTAATATAGGTATGGAAATATATCTAATATTATCTAATCATGGAAATACTTATAATTCTACCTCCATCAATGTTTCAAAGTCATGGTGGATTTTCCAGCTTAGCCCAAGATGCCAAGGAACTTCAGTACAAACTGCAGCGCTTCTTTGCCCAAAAGGGACCGCCCCCCTTGGAGGCGCCGGGGGCCTTCGGAGTCGGTATCTGTTGAGATAGTTCCGACTCAAAAACGTGTGGCGAGTTGAAGTCTAGAAATGCGAAGCTGGTATACCCTCTGGTAAACATACAAAAAACTATGGAAAATCACAATTTTTGATGGGAATTTCTATGGTCATTTTCAATAGCTACGTTAAATTACTAGAGGGTAAACTTCGGTATCAACTAAGAATGAGTTGAACTTTTTTGGTAGGTTCACTCTTTGAGTCGAACCTAGTTCCGAGACGCAGAATTTTTTGCCAGGAAGTCTTCATCTCCACTCAGAACTTGACTGTGGAGGTACAGGAGACCATCATGAAAGAGTGCCCAGGTCTGCTCATCAGTGCGTCACTTGACTTCGAATGTTACATCCACCACTGGGGAATCAATGTCGGTTATGTTTATTTTGGGGCGTTCCTTGAGCAAATCCAAGTATTTCAGAGATTCTCGGAGAAGAGATTCTTCACCACTTCCTCGCTTGATATAGGGACAGCACGGTAGCTGTACAATGTGGCAAATATCACTGGCACAGCTGGTTCAGCAGCTGAACATCAACCATCAGGTGAATCTTAGAATATCCCACGATCGTCACCATCACTCCATGTTGCTTATGACACTTGGGTTTGTTTCTCACGAAAACCAGCTGACAGTGTACTAGATGAGTTCAGAATCCCGTACACGAGCGAGCAGCGCGTCTCATCTCCGATTCCCACTATCCATACAATGTGAGGCCCCCTTGGTTTATAACTCCAAATACCCAAATAACTATATATAGTTACTGTGGCTTTTGTTAACCAACAAACATCACAACGGGGGGCCTTCTATCCATAGGTTCCAGGGTCATTTTACTGGAACCTCTGAAACCTTTCGACCTCAATTGATCGTTCCAGCTTTGCCCTATGTATCAGTGTCCAATGTATTATAGTTCTGTGAATAGTTGTAAAATAATATATCACATATCATATATCATATATATATATATAATAATAATAATACTAATAATAATAATCATATATATGTATATATATATATATAACATGGTGTTTAACTTCTCAGTATTCATGAATTCTTGCTGCCTGTCTCTCGATTCTGCTGGGATCGATCGGAACCCGAGGTTTTTGGTGTTGGCTGAGACACAGCTTCCCATCTCACCCGAGAAATCGGGAAAGGCAGTGGCAAAGGCTCAGCAAGCTCTTGCTTCGTCAGGGACACGATCCGGATAATCCAAACAGATCATCAATCTGTATAACAACCCCATTAAAAAAAAAAAAAACATCAAAAAGATCGGAATCCAGTGGAATCCGATTTTCAGACAATGGTAAATCACTGTTGGGGGTGATATTTTCTATGTGCATATATGTAATATACATACACACGATGCAGGAATTGATTGACCAGATAGGAATTATACTTTTATAAAAAGCCTGTATGGTGAATTTGGGTCATTCCTGGTTATTCTATACCTAGGTTGTGATTGAATATATATATACAGTATGTATAATATTACATGACATGACACTACACTAGATTACTTTACATGACATTACGTACATTTATGTAAGTTCCTCTGCCGATTCTTTCTTACAATTAAGTTATCCAAATCTTTGGCAAAAACTGCAGCACCTTTATGAACTATGTTTATTCCCACTGGTGTGTGTGTGTGTTGTGAACCAACAGCTGGCTATGTAAAGGTTGGGACCCAGCATTGGTTTAAGGGGCAGTTGACAGAAACGCCCGCCGAACGCAGGCGTCAAACTTGATGGTTTCCAGTATATTTTGACAGAAAATAATGCAAGTATTGAGTGATATTCATGTTTTCTGAAAATTACTCTGGGGTGTCATCCGTACATGTTTTTTAACTAATTTCCCAGAGATGAACACGTTGAAAATCATGTCCCTCAAAGAGGGCTATATTTCGTCTCTTCAATAAGCGTCAGCCAAATCCACTGCGGGGCTTCAGGCGGACAGCTTGGCTCAGAGCTTGGATGAAGCGAGCTATGCAGAGCAGATGCAGATTTGGCCCATTCAGGCGACAGTGAAAGGGGAGGTGAGGTGGGTTTGTCATGGTTTGTCTCATTAAAATGGCTAGTTGATTGGGTATCTCCTATTTTCATTCAAAAGTCCGGTAAGGTCGTGGACCAAAAACCTGCTTAATTAGTCCTTTGACATATTGTTTGAAAAACCATACGGGATGGTTGAAATGACGAGCTAATCTTTTTTGGGGTACAGCAACCAGCAACCAGAGTTCGAGATGATTCAACTGATTCAACTGATAAATCAACCCAATCCACCCTTTCAGATGGTTGAAATGTGTTTGATCATGAAAAACTGGTTGTATAATGTTGTATAATGAGTATATGAGTTGATCAATGAATCGTTGGGGTGAGAGCAAACAGTGTCATTGTTTTTGTTGATGCATGATCAAACATGATCATGTTCATTGATGTTTGATGCAAAGAATAAGCAACTTAGATAGTCTTACATAATGATGAATCATGGTGAATCATCAAGCTATGATTGGCCGTTTACTGGATCAACAAACTGCACTCTGACGATCATATTTTGGTGTTGAAAAGCACCAGCAAGTTCAAAGGAATTATCCACTGTGCAAGGTGGTGCACCCCACTTATAAGTTGATTTATAAACCCTACTAACGTCTATTAATTAACTATTACAGACTATAGATCTGTAATCTGTATACCAAAAATGATACTGACCTAGTTCTAAAATGTTATAGACCAACTTAGACATCATTTGGGGGTCTCAAGTACTAAACAGGTTTTTGACACACTTTAGAGTTCTTTTCTCAGGCTGCGTTTGAAAGCTACACCCGTGCGATGCAAGAAGTGCAGGATGCACAGAGGCAAACGGAACATCTCGAGGTTTCTGGGCTTGCGGGGCTTCTCGCTGCCGGAGGTTCGGAATGGAGATCAGATAGGACCTGATGAAAAAAGCCACCGGTGATTTGGAGATCATGGATATTTGGTCGGTGGTGACTGGAACCATGGAACTTTGAATGACTTTTCAATACTTTTCATATATTGGGAATTTCATCATCCCAATTGACTCATATTTTTCAGAGGGGTGGGTATACCACCAACCAGATACCCTCTGGTAATTTAACAGTTTGCTATTGAACATGGCCATAGACATAGTGAGTTTTCCCATTAAAAATTGGTGGATCTTGCCATAGTTATGTAAACGTTTACCAGAGGGTAAATGTTATTTATGAGGATACATGGGGATTATTCCATAATATCCCAATAATATTCCATAATATCCCATATTATACCAGAGGGTATCCCTTCACCACAGTTGGTGGTTCAGCGACTAAAACCACTGCCCAGGTCCAGTTGGTGATTTGCCACTGTCGTGAATCCTTGGATTGGCTTGCAGGCGACCCGGAAACTGACATGACGACCTGATGGAAACTGACCCATGGCTGAAGGGATTAATAGAAAAATATATAGGTAGAACGTGCTAGAAGCCATATCCAAACATGGTTTTAGAATGTTTTAGATTCAGAGTTCGGATTGCCATCTCTAAAATCATGACAAATGATGCACGTATTCTTCTTCTGTACTGCTCTTCTGGGTTCCTTTCTTTTCCAAGGGCTCACGGTAGGTGGCAGAAGTTCGAAAGTATTATGTTTGCACCATATTTCCAACTTCTAGATCGGTGAATGACCACAGTCAACCATGCAAGTTGCTTCATTTTGTCATTGACAACACCACAATTTCAAGGGCAATGTCCATTGGCAGGAGACATATTGCAAGCATTTTCAGGCCATTTTCAGCTCCAAGCTACCCACTTGTAGATGACAGAAATAGACTGTTGGGATCTATGGAAGCCAAGTGAATAACGACATCCCTCAGATTACCCTCTGGTAAACATACAAAAAGCTATTGAACATGGCCCAGTCGAAATAGTGGATTTAGCCATTAATAGCATGGTGGATCTTTCCATAGTTTTTGTATGTTTACCAGAGGGTATCCAAGACTTTCAAGCGTCCGAGATGGGATCTGAGTGGTGAAGCATGGTGAAATTTTCCAACAGGACCGCGTTTCTACATGCCAAAGACTGGAGCTGCACTGGACGTGGCTCAGGCTGCAAAACCAAGCGTCAGGAGAGGTCAGGTCCGGCAGTCCGCCAGGCAGTCCACTGGGGAAGTGGTTTATTCCTGGGGGATTCTCACATAAAAACATGGTTTAATGATGTTAAATGCTTAGAAGAAGGTCTTGTTTCCGGCCATGTAAAGTATGTAAAGTTGCTACTTTCCCAGAATTCCAGGGAACATGTTCAGGAAAGCCTCATATTTCTTTAGTGGTGAACATACCTTTTTCTCTGTCATTTTGTGTTTCAACAAAGCCATTGATACTTGGGAGCTTCAGCCAAGGTCTTCATCTATGAGAAATGCAACTTCGACACCGACCTGTCAAAGATGTCTGGGCACTTTCGATCGGTCTCCAGAGTTCTGGTGGATGACAAGGACAAAATGGTACAAGTTGGAGCTTCCCAAAAATGGTGTGTTACCGTACCCCATAAGTTTAGCACTTTTAACCACTTTTGCCATTTTTTGGAATTATTTGGAGGGTCCTGGTAGATTAGATCTGTATGTCAAGCACTAAAATAAAGCGGGTATAGTCGTGTCCCTTTTTTTTCGAGACTGGAGCGCACTTTGCACAAGGAACGTGTAATTTCAAACTAGTTCAAACTAGTTCAGACTATTTCTCATTTATTTTGAAAGGCTTTGGCCAGGAGCACTCAACTTTGCGGTAAAATGCCTTAAGTTGTGATGTAACACTTCCAGACCTTCTACACCTTCCAGCTTCACTGGAAAACTCTTCTCCCTTGTTGGTTCTCAAGGACCCTTGAGGCTGTCTAGAAGGGATCTGGACCGTGATGTGATTTTCTGGAAACTACCGCTGGTAACCCAATGCCATAAACCTATAAAAATGGCTGGGGATGCTTTATTTACGTTGATACCACCCGTCAAAATTTTGGGATTTTGGGGAAATGGCAATGGCTTTTCCACAGTGATCCACCAGGGGATGCGGCGTGACGAATGCTCGGGCTACCTCCAGCATTTGATCGACCACTACGAGGAGAGGTCCATGGCATTCCATGGGCGGGACAGAATTTCGAGTGACTTGAAAAACCTTGAACTCAATGGATTGGTTCAAGGGATTTGTTTGACTGGTTTAAGATGTTTAAGCCCCTATATTTAATGGGAAAATCTATGGTTTCTGGTTAAGGTTTTCCCGACTAAACCAATCCACTGATGAACCTTTTCAGACAAGTTCTTGCTTCCGGAATCTGAGGAGCCAGCAGACTACACTCTCTTCTTCCAAGCGGATGCTGCTGATCATTTGCATTGGGGCTATCTATCTTTGGTCCCTTGCAGCAGAAACCAGTGCAACAGTCCAAACAATGAATGTCCCAGTAAATCCTGCTTTGTATTTGCTATAATATCATGTCCCTACCTTGGATCGTGAAATAACTTAGATCCTTAAGTGCGGCAATCTACGAACTATTATTATAGTGCTTGGATCTCTTTTTTTCCACAGGTAAACATCATTCTTGGTGTTTCAATATGTTGGATAAATCCCTCCACTTCTTGGTTCATGGAAATAACTAGTGTCAAATTGTTATCATGATCAGTTTCTTGGCTAAATCCCATGTAGTGTTAGTGAAAACCCCAAAAGAAGGACATTTGAGCAGGGCTTAAAACCCCTGTTGGCTGATTATGTCGGGTTATACTATCCTTTATACATGTTCAGCATCCATTATGTCAAGGATAGTATATTATATCAATATATCTTCAATAGGATTTCCCATCCATTAATCTTTATCATCTGGTTGGTGGTTTCAATCATGTTTTATTTTCCATAATATATGGGAGAATCCTTCCCATTGACTTTCATATTTTTCAAGATGGTTAAAACCACCAACCAGTTAATGGATTTTCCATTAATAGATTTGGGTTCCATGAATGGATTTTCCCTTCAATCGGATTTTCCATATAATATTATATAAATATATCTTCAATATTTCCTAATTCTTTGATAATAGGATTTTCTGAACAGATTTTTCAATATCTTCCATTTATATTGTATAAATACTATGGCTAATTCTTTGGTTTCCCGATTCAAAGAAAATGGTTTCAAGCCCAAGATTGATGCGACGAGTTGATGCGACTCGTCACGAGGTGATGAAATCTTTGGAGCTCCACAGCTTGACGTTCCTGGGTGGTTGCGAAAGTGACAGATCAATGAAGACCATAGGAAAACCATAGGAAAACCATAGGAAAATGGAGGTTTACCCTCTGGTTATGTCAAAATAGCTATTGAAAATGGCCCATTTATAGTGGATTTACCCATTGATAGCATGGTGATTTTCCAGTTCGCTATGTAACAAATTACCAGAGGGTAGTCTCTACTTAGATGAGACTAACTGGGATTCACTAACTGGTTACTAACTGGTTAGTAACTGGTTAGTAACTGGGGTTAGTCTCTAGGTCATTCGACTGGATGAGTAGTTTATATAATCCTTGAGTATCCTAAAGACCTAAAGAGTCTTTTGGTATCAATGTGATTATCTACGTTCACGAGCGAAGAATTTATTTTTCTTCAGGGTATCTAAGATTGGCCATGGTCTAAGCTTGGACAATTGGGATTGAAATGAGTTATATACTGTGTAATTAATGGTTTTAAGTTCAATGAACAATTAACCATGCTTGAGCAGTTCAAATTGGCTTCCACGTGCATAGGTAAAACGGATAAATAATGGGGAACTCAATCAAGTTGCCCAACAATAAAGGGGAGATGGATATGAGTCAGATTTTTAAAGCCAAGAAAATCATAGAGCTTAGTCATGTCTTGGGTATTTGGGTTTTGACATCCAGTTGTAGAGGGAACAAACAATACCCATACGTAGTATGTGTAATGCAGTCAATCCAAAACTGGTATCCCAAAGCAAAACGGCAAAACGGTGAAACGGTCGACCGGGGATATTACTGGATAGATGCCATCCCGTGCTGCTGGAGCTGCTGGGGTCATCAAAATGGGCAGACCAAGCATGGGGGCTTAAGCTAAATCATAATATGATCTTGCCCATATAGCTACAAAGATATGAATGGATGCGCCTATATATAGATCATCAGAAAAGTCCCAATACTCAACTTGGGTACCTGAGGGGTGATGGTGGTTTATTAATAGAGGAAAAAAACTACAGGCCAACAACGGGCTCATAGTAAACCCCAATAAGTCAATTTTAAATTGCTGGTTTGAAAGTGTGGGAAAAAAACACTATATCCCACCATATCTCAGATGCTTCAAAGCCAGGAACATTCACTTATAGTCATACCTCTTTTATTTTATGGTGACTTATTAAAGTCATATTTAGATATATTGTTCACCCTATACCTCCTTTATATATGGTGACAATAATTTTCACGTCAAAATTGACAATTTTAGGCGCTGCAGGATGCCTTTACGGCGTCTCCGCCGTGAGGTCTCCCTTCGTCCACCTGAACTACCCGCGGCTCATCACGTCGCTGTCGCCCTGTCGCGCTGAAGTCTTTCGACAGATCTTCGATCGACCTCCATCGAGGCCGGGGGTTGTCGGCTCAAGCGGGTTGGGGTTGAAACAAACAGGATGGGACATAGATTGGATATTTTATATAAAGCAGTTACTTACTGTAATACATACGAAACACATAATGAAACAAAAAGAAAAATGGTGGGATTTTGTTCACATTGACAATAGATGACAAAGTGTGGAAAGGAAGCACTTCAAGGGTTGGAAACCATCAAGAAAACCTAAGCAAATACAGGAAAGAACAGATTTATCAAATCAAAAAGTTGGCTTTCCTTGTTGTAACAGTTTTGTAGAATCTTCTGCGCAGTTTGAGTTTAACACAAAGCCAATGTTTGAAAAGTCCGGTTGTTGCCAATTGGGGGTTTGTCCGGATACGCCAATGTCAGGAATGCTAAGAACATCTAAGAACTATAGTTGAATGACCATGTCGCATGTGTTGAAATGCGTGGAGCATGGCACACATAAAGAAAGCAGTTCATGATGTTTCTACCTAAGTCCTGTGTCTACCACTAAGGTTTGCATGTCAACCGCATCCACTCTCGCGCTTCGGCATTGGGAGCAAATTGATATTGTGTAATATTGTGTAAAAATATTATAACAATATCAACATGTTATTTACATGCCTTTTCTCGCTTTTCGCTTTTCGCCCAGGACCTTGGGCTCCTACTGCTGTGCTCAATTTGCGGTTTCCAGGGCTCGCATCAAAGGCAACCCTTTGGAGAGGCCCCTGGGACAGCCTGGCGAGGGATGGATCGGCAAGCCTGTGGGAGACTGGCGGTGAAGGCTTGGGGAAGGGGTAGAGAATGGTAGAGACGTTGGCTACATCTTGTTATGTTGAAAATGATGTCCCACTAAGCGTGCTTACATCATCTTACATCCAGTTTCTAAGCCTTTACTTCAGGTCTCCTCCGGCGTCGTGAAGCTCTTGGCCAGGTACCAACGTATGCAGCAGATGCTCTTCAGCGAGTCACCGGAAGTGTGTCATGACATTCCCGGGCATCCCACTTTATGTCTGATGTTTGAGGTGCTGCTCAGTGGCGGACTGGATCTTGAAAGCTTGGGAGGTGATGGGGAAGTTTCATCGGTTGCACATGGTTTCACTGTGATTTAAGGAGTGTACGTTGTGCACATCTAAGATTTGCGAATTGGCATGAGGCCGCAAAATCAAGCAATTTGTTGGTATATTTGCAACTTTGCATGTTCTGTTTTCCGGAAGTTCAGGAAGGGCGTTCAACATCCACCCCTCAAGTTTGAAACCCTTTGTGGCGACCGTATTCAGTTCGCCAACTGAGTATGGCCCAAGAACTATGGATCTTGCTCAAGAAAGTGCATGGTCGCATACCATCCCATAAAATCATATATATATATATAACATCTAATCTCATCCCTCACTGGTATTATACCTGTAATATGGCCCCATGATGACTTGATCCAGGTGTATTGGCACGTTCTCTTCGGTGAGAAGGATGAGCTTCCAACACGCGCGGAGAATGCGGCACTGCATCTCGGCTACGCGGAGGACTTTCATTGGATTGGAGGGAACATCTTAACCGGAAACCCATGGTTTTTACCATGAAATATGGGGGTTTCCTGTAAAATTTCCCCAACAAACCAATGCAATGCATATTATAGCGAAAGATGTCGGATTTTGCCCTTTGGAATGGGTTGTTGAGACCTATGACTTTCCGGGGAGTGTGTTCCAAATGTTGGGAGTGTTGCACCCTCTGTCTCGCTCTCTTTGTCCAGGCAACTCTTTCTGCGAATCAGAGATTTGGAGAATGAGTCGTGTCTTGCCAGACCGCCTCCTGAAATGAAAGAACTTCTGGTGGAAGGGCCGCAGGGCCATGGCTACTTGAATGACTCTCGAGTTTTACAACCGTCTGTGCACGTGCTTCACAGTTGGTATGTAATTCATAGATGTTAACAACCATGGTTCCTTCATCCATATGATGAACCCCAGCGATTAACAGGTTTTACCACCAACGTTGCCGGTGTTTTTTCGGATTCTGTGGGGATAGGCTCAAATGGCGGAAACGAGGAGCTTTCCGACGGACCCAAGATCTCAACGTGTCATTGATGGCCATTTCCTTCAAAGGTCAGGCACCAATATGTTGCATCTTAGCCCATGAAACATATGAAACTTGGTCTCAGTTGGTTGCGGGCTGAAAAACATGCTCAGGTTGTGTCGTTCCTTTTTGCCACAAAATCTTGCGCCAACCACTTGCAATTTTTTTGGGGGATGGGAGTTGCAACCAGGAACTGCAGGGCTTTGGTGATCCTTCTCAGCTCCAGCATGTTTCCTTGTAATGATTTCCTTCACCGAACAGCACTGATTTTGGGAGGGGTTACTCATTATTGGTCCCCATTTTCCAGAATTTGCAAGAAACATCTCCGGAAGGACCCAAGCTCCCGTGCCAACCACGCTGGATGCCCGTGGGTTTCCTAAGGTATTTGCCTCCTGGCTCGATGTTCTTGAAACTGGCCTCCGGTCGAAGCTGACGAGCCGATCAAGCTGACAAAATCGACAAGCGCTGCAGCGAAGATCTGGGGGGTGATAATCAGTGAAGATGAATATTTGGGTGGCTATCGTGGGTGTTGGTTGAGGTACATATAGGATCATATAGGATCATATAGGTACATATTCATGGTGAACAGAATTTGGACACTATGTAAGATCTTCATGAGTTAATTATTCTGCATATCGTAGTAATCCTGGATTTGGTGTATTGGTTGCACAGAAACCTTGCATCAAGCAGTCCTTTTGGGCACAGTTCTGGGGCCCCCAAAATGCATGCATTTATTGAATTGTGACACACACACACAGAGCAGGTTATTGGAGAGTGGAGGTACTGTTTTTCATAGGTCTTGCCCTCGCCTTGAGGGTTCCTGAAGATTCCTAGGTTATGTTTGAAAAGCAATCTACTCACCTGCACTACAGGTTCCTATTGGTTGTCAGACCCCTTCGATTTTGTAGCTCCAGCGTCGCAGGGGATGCTGAGACACAGGTGGGCTGGGTGGACACTGAAGACTGGGTATGAGGCTATGGTACTGGGTAGAAAAGCCATCAGAAAAAGCTAAGCAAGGTATGCCCGATTATTTATCCGTGGCACATGGGGTATACCATGGGTATACTTTGTTCATCTTTGTTCTGTCATTCCTAACTGGGAGGCGAGATCGGCTGATGTATTGTTGAAAACATCAGGCTTTTGTGGTCTAATTGAAAGGTATCGACAGCGGTATCTCTATTCGATAATTGCTCTGCATTTGCATGCCACCAAACAAAAAGTAAATTTGAATATAGTGTTCGCGGCTCCTGGTCATAGACCTATTGACCTATCGTGAACATCATCAACAACAGATATCAAGGGACTATTGTTTTCTGAAGGATTTTCAGGGCCCACCCAGCTCGCTGGGTGGCTCCGCCATCCACCAGGCCGCAAGAATACCAGAGCTTTGCTGCACACAGTGCGGCACACCCTACCAAACCTCAAGGCGGCAGCTCCCACAGCCTTTTTTCTACAGAAAGAACATGAGAAGTTCATGAGGGTTCCATGTTAGTTATCTCATGATATCTCATGTCATATCACATATAAGTATATAATAAGCATTAATTAGCTATGGCTATATTGTATACACTGTGCATGTATCATAGCTTAATAGCATAGGTACAGGAAGGTCACAAAAAACATGGAGCGGGCACAGGTGACCAGGTGACAGAGGTGACCATGAAATGAAGCCCAAAATGGGAGGAGAACTATGGGAAAATACAGGAAAATCCACGATAAATGAATGTTTCATGGAAGTAAACCAAGAATTCATATGGAGGTTTCTTAAAATAGGACCCCCAAGACCATGAGTTTCACTACGAAAATGGTCGACTTGGATGAACTGTACCACCCATGACTTAGGAAACCTCCAATGTGGCAAAGATGCGATGCTGATGTACTGCCCAACCGATTGCCCAAACCGAACTCCAGCTGTCTGGAGTTGTTGCATGATTTTGCCAGCTGCCGACAAATCTTGCCAATGCGGGACCCATGTCCTTCTCCTCCACAAATCCATAATCATGCAAGTCTGTCCTCGATCCCGTTGTCCCAGCACCAATCGCAGTTGCTCAACCAGCTTCAATTTTGGCTGCGAAAGGAGAAGACATTTGACATGCCATCATGATCATCATCATCATCATCATCATCATGCCACATGTGATGACTTTGTAAGGAATGCGTCATAGAATCGAATGGCATACCATGGTGCCCCAGTGAGATCTTGAGCCAGGTGAAATATCAATGCAGAATGCAGCTGAGTATTTTGTTGCTATAGGATAGTCCCACCGTCACAAGGCCCCAGCGACTCCTTAACCGAACAGAGGAAGTGGAGCTTGGCTGGTTCAGACTGATGTGCAGCAGGGCCCTGGATGTGAATCTGTGATGGAGTCGACTTCAAATGATGCCTGATCTCTCATTGCTGGACTCTGAGTTTGCAAGAGGTGCTGTTGCGTCGTGGAAAAACTGCATAATTCTTTGATGTTCTTGGTATGTGTGATCAAACCATATATTGCCATATATGTCTATGTATATATATGTAATATATATATATAATATTATATACATATAGTTTGTATAGTCAGTCCCTTCAACTATTCTACCCATTTCGGGCAACACTTCTTAGCTTTTAGGGGGGCGCCATGGGGCCCCACATTTTGCCAAGGCCACTGGGGCGCCAGGGCCGCCAGGATCCCCACTTTTCAGATGATGAGACCACCAGGCAGGGCCATGAGACCATCCAGCTGGGGTAGCCCCATGACTATCCCCAAATGACTAAAGCTGAATTTGGGTATGTTCTTATGTGAGATATCACTTATAGCTGGTTTTTTTTGGCTTTTTTATTTTCTCATGAAAATGCCTTAATTACTATGATAAGGTCTTGCGCCAGAGGCAGAGTTTTTCCGGACATCATGGGGATCAAAATCACCGCGCTGTGTAACTGGACCCGTCAGATGCTTCGGAAACTCGTCCGAGGTTCGTGTTTTATTGGTGCCTCCTCTGGGTGACCTTGCACTACCTGGCGTGGCCCTTGTGGCAACGTAGGAGGGTATCTTGGCTGGACATCCCAGGATGTTTGTAGATTTTATTTGTGATGTGGTAAACCCAATGCCATGGACCATCCCTAATATTACCAAAATATTACCACTTACCAGACTTACCATTTTTTTTATGTTTTTATGGGTGGTAAAAAAACCATCTCCAATGATAGGTTTATGACATTGTTATCACATTAGTTGAATTTCCCCGGCTGAACGAAACCTCCATGGCTGGTTCAGGGATTTTCCAGCTTGACATGTTTGATCGCTGGAGAGTAGATATCTTGTCGTGATGGAGGAGCAATGATTCTATTGCATTACCCGGTAAACTAACATAACTATGGAAAATCACCATTTTGAATGGGAAAACTCACTATAAATGGCCATTTTCAATAGCTATGTTAGTTTACCAGAGGGTAGTTCCTCCACTATAAAGTAAGTTTGCTAAAAACTGTCCGATATCAATTTGTAGAACCCCCTTGTTGCTGATGGAACATTGACAGTCCATGAAAAACGACATTTATTTCCAGTTTGAGTCCTGCAGGTAGGCTATATACCTGTTTTGCTCATCACTTTCCAGCTTTCACCATAAGTTTCGAGCCATTCTCTACAATCTACAATACTCCCCAGGTCCTTTGCTTTAAAAATGGCTTTCACAACCTGAGTTTTGAAACTGTCACGGGTGAGCTACGGTGCAGGTACTGGGGCTGATTTGTTCCCCCACGCCCGTGGAGAGGTGGGTGACTGGGTGACTGGAGATGAGTATGAGGACGGTGATGTGTTGGGTACCCTCTGGAAAATTCACAGTTGGACCCTGAAAATCACCAGTTTTTAGTGGAAATTCTTCCAACCCTTATCTGGCAGGGTCGAACTGTTCATTTACTGGAGGGTAACATGAATCTGGCGATGATTATTGCTGCTTTCAACGCAAATCAAAAGCTGTTTGTTTCAGGAGAATCATGATTGAACAAAAAATGAAGATTCAATATGGCAAACACAAATTGTATTAGGGCACCAACAAAAAGAACTATTTGAAGAATCAACACCCAGTACTTCCCAGCACATCTAAACCTGTCAAAAACTAATAATGGTGAGCATGATTGTGTTTTTATATATTTCAATGAACATCAAATACTGATATCTTTCGTAATCATTGAACAAACATTGTTTGGAATTCTTCCGTTCAGGGTTTCCTTGAAATTGTGCTCGCCATGAATTCTTTTCTTGAATCACCACCCCAACCGGCCAGATACAGACGTCGGCTTTGCCGCTCTCAAGCAGAGCCCTTGGAGAAAATGATCCTGAGAAGATGTTAGAAGGTCAAAAACTCTACCCTCTGGTTATTTAACAGTTCGCGGAAAATGCCCATTTATAGATGGTTTACCTATTAAAAATGGGGATTTTCCATGGCTATGTTAGTCATAACCAGATGGTAAACATCAGATCGCAGATTTTGGATGTTGATGCTGGATGTTTGGTACTTGTAAAAAATGTTGTTTTCGATCCCAACATGTCAACATGTCGCAAACTTGTCCAAGATGTTGTTGAGCAAACAGGGAGTCTTCGTCACAATTGCAATGAGTAGGTCCAGACGAAATCACTGCCTTTTTGGCACAATCCATCAGATCATAAGGAAATCATGGTAAATGTACGCCTAGCCCAGCTGTCCGCAAAATATGTTGAGTATTGGTGGATACGAATCATCCCCATTCAGGAGATATTCCCATCTATCATCATCTATCTATATCTCTATACAGTAATATAAATAATTACCTGGTTGGTGGTTTGGAACATTGTTTAATTTTTCCATATATTGGGAATAGCAACCTTCCATGGCATCTCAT